CAACCAAAAAAAAAAAAACCGTCACGTCTAAGTTTAGATTTTGGGTGTTTGTATTGTGTTACAGAGTGACTTGTATTTCACTTGGGGATATAAACTAAATCGCCTTTTATTATACCGCCACCTAGTGTCGTGTGTGTGCGCGCTTAGATAAACTGACAGTCTGAACTATCACAGAAAACTGTAATCACACTCTATTTAAATATCACAACAAATAACCAGTGTTGGGGTAACTTGAGTTATGTAATCAGATTATTTGTTCAAGTATCTAGTTTTAGGGAGTAACGCAATACTTTGCCCAATCCTGTAAATAACTCTAAGCTACCTTAATAAATCCTCTGAATGTCTAATAAATAAATCCAACAGTTGATTTCGTCTCAAATTTACAGCTTTTAATGCAGCTTCTCAGGGCACTTTACACAATGAAAATACCAAGAGAAAAATAAAAGAAATAATACATGTAAAAAGATACACAGATAGAAATACAAAGCGTGAATATATTATGATTCGTTTACTTTGAATGAATAAATAAATAAAGCTCGTAAAACTGCAGGTGCGGTGTAGGAGTGACTGGGTGTTTCGGTTCAGCGCGTAACCGCCTCCGTGAAGGTCAGGAGACTCGTGCGCGCGCCGCGTGCCCGCGCAGTGTTCGAGCGCGCTGCGGGTGTCAGTCAGTCAGTAATGGCGGAGGAGCTGGACGTGGATTCTCTGATCTCCAGATTACTGGAGGGTGAGTAGCGCTCATCGGCACCTCTCTCTCCCCTCTCTCTCTCCTCGGCGTCAGGGATCGGGTCTGTGGGATCGAGTCTGGCGGGTGTACTCGCTCATTCCAGCGGGGTTGTGTCCGAAAGGCCCGTGAGTGTGTGTGTGTGTGTGTGTGTGAGAGAGAGGGGGAGAGAGAGAGAGAGAGAGAGAGAGAGAGAGAGAGAGAGAGAATATGTCAGCTCGGCCTGCGACAACAAACGCGCGCACCGGTTCAATTCCCTTCAGTGTCACATGATGTGTGATTTTGTGTTTTATTTCGGGATGTCAGACGTGATGTGTCGAGTATGTTCGCGTGTTTCTGTTGTCGTGTGTTTTTGAAGTGTGTTCCTGTTGCTGTAAATCTCAACTACAAGTTTATTGTCACTCCATACAGCAGAAACTCCCTGATCTGAAAGCTCACATCATTCCCGTGTGTTTCAGAGTTTTTTGGAGTTATTGTTTGTCAGCATGTAAGATGAGTCTGTCCTCACACTGTTTTGAAATGACGTCACGCCGGTGACGTCAGCAAAAACAATACTGGAGTTATTTGGAGAATGTGTTGTTCTTTATTATGTGACGTAAACAAGCAAAACCATGTTCTGTCGCTTGTGTCGAAATGATCTGATTTTATAAGGACTAAAATTGTTAGTGTGAATATACAAATATGCAAGTCATGTGATTTTTTTCATATTATTAAGTGATTCATAACTGCTGAAGCGCAGGTGTTGAGATGGTGTGTGTGTGTGTCAGTCATATGAATTAATCAACAGATATTTAGTTGAATATTGAACATGTCTGGGCTGTTTTGTACTGTTAAAGCTTTACTTCTCCCGAACGTGATGTTCTGCCTTCATCTCCTCCTCCTCATCTTCATCATCATCACTGTCTTCTGTAACAGAAGATATTTTGAAGAAAGTTGGAAAGCAAACAACACTGAGACTTTCTGAACGTCTCCAGAACAGGGAAAGGAAGAGGCGAGCGAGTAAATGAAGGATCATGTTCCCTTTAATGTTCTTTTACTCAGTTCTTCAGTCATTTACATATTCTGTGTAAATTCATTAATAATAGTCACTAATCACTCCGTTAATGTGCAAGTTATTCACAATAATGTTTAAACTAGTCCTGATAGGGACGATTCGCTCGTGTCGTATATCGAGACGCTTCAGGAACGAGATCTGATGATTGTGTGTGTGGGGAACTGATTGGATGGTCGTGGTTTGCTATTGGCTGATCTCCTTTGAGTGACAGGTTAAAGCCCCGCCCTCGTCATCAGAGAACAGAAGAGATGTTGAGAGGAGCTGATTCTGACTCGTTATTAATATTAACACGATATCCTAAAGATGCGCAGCCATAAATCATGTCGAATAAACAGCGCATTATTCCACAACAAACACGAGCTGTCCATTTTGACTTCAACTGACTAATGACAGCGCTGACTAAAAGTGCAGCTGTTTCTGTGTGTGTCTGTTTGTGTGTGTGTGTGTGTGTGTGTGTGTGAGATTCTCCAGAAAGCCACAAAACCTTCATCCTTCATCCCACACAGACCATATTTGGTTGTGGAAGAAAGAGAGTTGGGGAGAAAGAGATCTGAAAATAGCCGGACTGGTTTTCATCAGAGCCAGAAGACACACACACACACACACACACACACACACACACACACACACACACACAGATTCCTTAAGACGAAGTGCACTGATGAAGGTTTAGTAGAGACTGTGTTTGTCCTTGTCACAGATGTCCGTGTGTGTGTGTGTGTGTGTGTGTGTGTGTGTGTGTGTGTGTGTTCCTCGTCTCAGTAACTCTGAGATCTGCAGATAAACTGAGTCACGGTGGGACAGTCTTTACAAACTCTTAAATCCACGTCCCAAACACACAGTTATGATGTTCTCATGATAGTTTTATGTTGCCGATATGACTGCACTTTATATATTGCTCTTTACTGCGTTTTCCATTTTTGAAGAGTTTCCGATCATATTTCAGTCAACTCTAAACCCTCATGTTGAAATAATACATTATTCATCACCAGCATTAAAGGAGTAGTTCACTTTTGAAAAAACTTTTGCTGATAATTTACTCACCCCCGTGTCATCCGAGATGTCCATGTCTTTCTTTCTTCAGTCGAAAAGAAATTAAGGTTTTTGATGAAAACATTCCAGGATTTTTCTCCATATAATGGACTTCAATGGGGACCAAACGGTTCAAGGTCCAAATGAGAGTTTCAGTGCAAACTGTTCAAACGATTCCAGACGATGAATAAGGGTCTTATCAAGCGAAACGATCGCTCATTTAATAAATAAATAATACAGTTTAAGTTTAATAAGCTCAAATGGTCGCCTTGCTCTGTTCTGTGATGCGCGTTCGTGACTCTCCTGTTCGAACTTGTTCATTAAAATGAACAAATCTTTTCCTGAGTAAATTCATTAATTTTTTTGTTGAATGAAACAAATGACACGAAAAAGCTTCGTTCATTTTGATAAACGAGTTCGAACAGGAGAGTCACGAACAGAACAGAGCAAGGTGTTTATTGTATGTACAGTATTTAATAGTTGTTGAAACTCAATCTTCTGTAATTTCTGCTTTAATTGTAAAGCGTCACACACGAGTCACGTTCCATGCATTTGTCCCTGCCTAACAAACATTAAATAAAAATAATATATAAGTTCTCCTTCGTTTACAGAAGTAACCGCTTTTCATTATTATTTTTAGTTTAACAACTTTTAACTTTTTTAAAATTTGTATTATTTGAACTGCAGATGTTTAAATCATAATTTTTACAATCTTTTTATGGTTATGGTTTAGTGACATCACAAGAAAAAAAGAATCGTGTGTGTGTGAGAAAGAGAGTCTGTGTGTGTATATTGTGCCCATATAAGGTCATCATTGTGAGGAGATTTATGTTTAATCACACACACACACACACACACAGAGTTGGCTGTTCTCAAACAGGTTCTTTATGCGTGTGTTTCTGGTTTGACTGGCTCCTCCAGTGTGTGTGTGTGTGTGTGTGTGTTACAGCGTCTGAAACGCTTCCTGTGATTCTGTGTGTGTGTTGATGGATCGATCTATCTGCATCTTCGGCTCTGAATTCGGAGTATTATGGTTTAATTTACTGCGTGATTTGAAAATGATCTGCATCTGCCATACATTTCAGTTATTAAATACATTCATGACATGATATGCACATGTCACACACACACACACACACACTCAGTGTATGGTATCAGTTAGGTAAGTAATATGTTTATGATTATGTTGGCATGGAGTCTGTGGTCTGTCCTACCATATCATATGAGTTCTCATGTTGTTCTCTCTCTCTCTCTCTGTGTGTGTGTGTGTGTGTGTGTGTGTGTGTGTGTGTGTGTGTGTGTGTGTGTGTGTGTGTGTGTGTGTGTGTCAGTGCGAGGATGCCGTCCAGGGAAGATCGTTCAGATGACGGAGGCGGAGGTTCGGGGTTTGTGCATCAAGTCTCGTGAGATCTTCCTCAGTCAGCCGATCCTGCTGGAGCTGGAGGCGCCGCTGAAGATCTGCGGTGAGTGTGTGTGTGTGTGTGCGCAAGTGTGTGTGTGCCAAGCGTGCTGCGCCATCTGCTGAACAGTGAAGTCTCGATCGCCCCCCAGTATAGGTCCCACTATTGGTCCTTGTATTGGTCCCAGTATAGGTCCCAGTATAGGTCCCAGTATTGGTCCCCATATTGGTCCCAGTATATGTCCCAGTATAGGTCCCACTATTGGTCCTTGTATTGGTCCCAGTATATGTCCCAGAATTGGTCCCAGTATAAATTGGTTGTTGTATTGGGGCCTGGGACCTATACTGGGAAGTTGAAGTTGACGTCACAATAGTGGAGTTCCCTGAGAGATGCTGTCAGCGCTTGAACAATAACAGCCACGGTCCGATGCGTTATCTTGCCTAACACACACACACGTCTCAATAATATCAGTAAACACTCGCCAAATATGGAATCTTGATTGGCACAGCTTACCCCAGTCAGCAGCTGTGATCATCAGCTCAGAGCTGTCGATGAGATACTGATGTGTGTGTGTGTGTGTGTGTCAGGTGATATCCACGGCCAGTACACAGACCTGCTGAGGCTGTTCGAGTACGGCGGGTTCCCCCCCGAGGCCAACTACCTGTTCCTGGGCGATTACGTGGACCGGGGCAAGCAGTCGCTGGAGACCATCTGCCTCCTGCTGGCCTACAAGATCAAGTACCCCGAGAACTTCTTCCTGTTGAGGGGCAACCACGAGTGCGCCTCCATCAACCGCATCTACGGCTTCTACGACGAGTGTGAGGAGCGTTCTCACACACACACACACACACACACACACACACTTTACTAGTTAGTTGGTCACATCTCTGGTCAAGACACTGTGAAATCATGATTGTTTTATTTGATTTGGGGGTGAAATAATGACAGCTGGACTTTACTCACCGTTTCCATGACAACCCTACCCCGCCGTTGCCATGACATCAGCCGTGTGTTGATTGTGTTCCTCAGGCAAACGCAGGTTTAACATCAAACTGTGGAAGACGTTCACCGACTGCTTCAACTGTCTGCCGATCGCAGCCATCGTCGACGAGAAGATCTTCTGCTGCCACGGAGGCAGGTTTCCACGGCAACACCTTCACTGGCCGAGTGCATCCCATAATACTGCAGCTGATCTGAGATCTGTTTCCTCTCACAGGACTCTCTCCTGACCTTCAGTCCATGGAGCAGATCAGACGCATCATGAGGCCGACAGACGTGCCCGACACAGGTAAACACACACACACACACACACCTGACAGGTGAACACACACACACACACTGTAGTCATTTTCTTGGTAATGTAGATAAGGGCAAACAGACAATCTCCTCCTTGAAATGTATAAAACTATAGAGGTGTGTGTGTGTGTGTGTGTGTGTGTGTGTGTGTGTGTGTGTGTGTGTGTGTGTGTGTGCAGGGCTGCTGTGTGATCTGCTGTGGTCAGACCCGGATAAGGATGTTCAGGGTTGGGGAGAGAACGACCGCGGCGTCTCCTTCACCTTCGGTGCCGATGTGGTCAGCAAGTTCCTGAACCGCCACGACCTGGATCTCATCTGCCGCGCGCATCAGGTGACACAACTACACAACTACACAAACATCACGCGCATCAGGTGACACAACTACACAACATCACTCAAATAATGCTTGTTCTGCAGGTGGTTGAAGACGGCTACGAGTTCTTCGCTAAGCGGCAGCTGGTGACGCTGTTCTCGGCGCCGAATTACTGCGGCGAGTTCGATAACGCCGGAGGGATGATGAGCGTCGACGAGACTCTGATGTGCTCCTTCCAGGTGTCACATGACTTGCCTTCATACGCCGTCTAACGGGACATGCTTCTCCACACAATCAAAGAAATCATGTTTCACACTCAGAAAGCACCGCTTTAGGACAGTCGACGTTAACTATAGCGCCATCGACTGGCCGGAGTTGCACTAGCATTTATGCTAACTTGGGCTGAAAAACGAAATCTGATTTTTGAATCTAATTTTTCGATCTATTTCCTAGACGTTTGATCCAATTTTCACAAACTTTGGCTCGCGTCATCTTCAGACCGCGCTGAAAGATTTTTCGTTCTCGTATAGCGCGTCGAGTTCAGCATAAAGCAGACGTGAGGCTGGATCTCCGCACTGATATGGTGTATTACGATCAAACCTGGCGCCTGTCATTACACGCATGACTCGAGAGTACATGCACCGTTGCGGCGCAGCGCCACCTAGTGCTCGGGAGGAATGGACAGTGGCAGTTTTTGCTCATAACTTCTGAACGGTTTGGCCAAAAATCCCAATATTGATCTCTCTAGATTCAGTTTACACGGAGCCGAATTAGAGCCAAGACATTTTGAACTTTGGTGTACAATACTGTATTTTACGTACGTGTCATTGGCGAAAATCCTAAAAACATAAAACAATATAGGGGGAAATTGTGTTCATTTGTCATGAAAATAATGTCAGTAAAGCAACAGATCATATTGGCCCTATTTAAAGTCTTCTTTTTCGAAATGTGATTTATGTACACTGATTGTGGAGAGAAATGTGTCTCTGATGTGTTTTTGTGAAATTCACTAATGAATAATCCTTATAGGAACTATTCACAATTCTTTCGGGAATTATGTTTTAAGATTAAATTTATTAAAGCCCATTTCTGCCACAGTTAAATTCATGTTTTGGTAAAATAAGTTATTGTTTCAACTTTTTATGACTTTATATTTCATAATTATGACTTTTTAAATCATGATTTTGACTTTTCATCTCGTATGACTTATAATTATGATTAACCAAAGCATGATTTTGCATGAATCGTCGACTAAAGCTTTTCTCGCTGCTGTTCTCAGATCCTGAAGCCGTCGGAGAAGAAGGCCAAGTATCAGTACGGCGGGATGAACTCCGGCCGCCCAGTGACTCCGCCCAGAACGGCCACGCCCCCGAAGAAGCGCTGAGAGGGCGGGGCCTCGGCCTGAACGGCCACGCCCCCGAAGCTGAGGGGGCGGAGCTACAACACGTGTGAACCGGCATGAAGACTGTCTTGAAATAGGATGATGTAGTTAAACACGCTTGAGTTTCTCCGTTGACGACACCGCTCTCGCTCTGAGATCACTGTGTGCTGCTTTGCTTCTGTGTGTGTAAACGTCACGTTCTTCACAGTGTTTGAACACACATTTCTTTTCTCGCTCTGCGTCTAACAACAGAAGGGTTTACATTGACTAGGTCTTTTCTAGTTGATTATTTCACTCTTCGAGGCCTGTTGGAGTCAGACAGGTTCATAACATCAGGATTTTCAGTAAATAAATTTGAACAAACCTCAGTGTGTTTGTAAGCTTGTTTTATGAAGCGCCCGTTCATAGAAAGTGTGTTCTTCAGTGGTGACGGAGAAACAGGTGTGTGTGAGGAGGATCGGTTAAATGGTACCTAATGATTCTTGTAAGTGTTCATTAAAACTCATTATTACTAAAACATCTAAAACAAGCTGGAGATAATCTGCAAAATCATCTCTGACCCCTGAAGGAGTGTGGTTTTATGTGTGTGCAGTGTTGTGGTTTTATAGTGGGTGTGTTTTGTGTGTAGTTTCAAGAAATGGAACCATAGTTTCATAAATTGTGAGCAATTTTAAAAACTTAGAATGTTGACAAAATACAAAAACATTTATACTTACTCCATGGAGCGTTTTTTTTTTTTTTTTTCTACAATGTTTTAGTTTCTCTAACTAGTTTCAGGACATTTCAGAGAAACATAACGTTCCCATAATGTTTGAAGAATGTTCACATTACGTTTAAGCAAAACGTTTTTAAAACTTAAATTAGAGGTTTAGAATATTCATATCTTAGAAGTTATCAAACCGTTCTTATTACAGTATTATCTGGGTTGATGTGTGCAGCCGTAACCAAAAATAGTTTCATTGGAATGTCGATTAAATTATACATTACATGAATAAAACTTCCACCGACACATTTTTTGCACTTAGCTAGCAAAACAGTGTTCGAGTTTCAGCTCTTGCCTTCGCGCATGCGCAGATGCACAAACGCGTTCTCGCGCCAGTCCCACGCGCATGCGTAGATTCAGCGGCGATGCGCCGGCAGGTGGCGCTGTAAGACTGTTATATGCGGTTCAGTTATTTCTCCACATCTGTCTGTGTTTGTGTGAATTAACATTCAAAATCAGTACGAAAATTAACCATGCCTTTAATAACTATTGTTTTACGCTGATTTTTGCATTAAAAACCTGTTTTTAATTCAGCATTTGAAGTAAAAAAGTAGAACTACAGCATTAACTGTTGTTTTACTGCAGCAATAGCACTATAAAACCATATAATACTATACAAAATCAACTATGTTTTAACTGCTTTTTGAAGTGAAATTATAGCAACTATAAATCAACATGTTTTCAAGCACCTTAACTGGTTTTGTTATGTAGTAAACCATAATAAACACATCGAAATATGATTTACTGAAGTAATCTGGTCATTTATACCGTGTGAGAAACAATTAGGCATGGTTTTCTGAAGAAATCATTTTGTAAATGGGCTTTTGTCATGGCTGTTCTGAAAGGAAAGTCTCCCAGAATGCAGTGCTCTGGTTAATGAAGCGTCTGAGAGTCGGTCACAGGTCTGAACACGGAGACGGGACGGGATTCACCAGCAAACGGCAGAAAACAGGCGGCGTTTGACTCCACCACTGGCAGATGTGTGTGTGTGTGTGTGTGTGTGTGTGTGTTTCTTTTAAGCACAAACTTCAACTTCATTTATTTTGGGGGGAAAGAAGCGAGGAAAGGAAAGGAGGACAGAGGAATCAAATAAAAGATTTTTTATATATATTGGAATACTTGATCACTCGAGCGTCACTCCACAGTGTCATCAGCAGCGCTAAAAGGATCTGCCCTTATGTTGTTGAAGTTTGGTTATTTAATAAATTCATAATAATAAATAATAAAGATAGGCTATCTAGACGCTTCCGGAGCTGAGATATTGAGATTTTTATAATGGCATAAATGCTACGTGGGATCTCAATATCTCAGCTCTGGAAGGGTCTAGAACGTCCATTTTTGCACGCAGGTCTAAGTCTCATGGCCCTCTATCATAATCCAGAGTTTTAAGAATATTGGAGAAACTTATTTTTTCGCCCCCCAAAAAAAACGAAAGGAGTACCACTGTGGGTTTTTTTTTTTTCGGGTCGACATTTTGAGTTTCGATATCTCAGCTCTGGAAGGGTCTAGAGCCTCCTTTTTTGCACTCAGGTCTAAGTCTCATGGCCCTCTATCAGAATCCAGAGTTTTGAGAAGATTTGAGAAACTTAATTTTTCGCCCGAAAAAAAAAAAACGAAAGGGGTACCACTGTCGTTTTTTTTTTCGGGTCGAAATTTTGAGTTTTGATATCTCAGCTCTGGAAGGGTCTAGAGCCTCCATTTTTGCACTCAGGTCTAAGTCTCATGGCCCTCTATCAGAATCCAGAGTTTTGAGAAGATTTGAGAAACTTAATTTTTCGCCCGAAAAAAAAAAAACGAAAGGGGTACCACTGTCGTTTTTTTTTTTCGGGTCGAAATTTTGAGTTTCGATATCTCAGCTCTGGAAGGGTCTAGAGCCTCCATTTTTGCACTCAGGTTTAAGTCTCATGGCCCTCTATCAGAATCCAGAGTTTTGAGAAGATTTGAGAAACTTAATTTTTCGCCCGAAAAAAAAAAAAAACGAAAGGGGTACCACTGTCGTTTTTTTTTTCGGGTCGAAATTTTGAGTTTCGATATCTCAGCTCTGGAAGGGTCTAGAGCCTCCATTTTTGCGGCCAGGTTTAAGTCTCATGGCCCTCTATCAGAATCCAGAGTTTTGAGAAGATTTGAGAAACTTAATTTTTCGCCCAAAAAAAAAAACCGTAAGGGGTACCACTGTCGTTTTTTTTTTTCGGGTCGAAATTTTGAGTTTCGATATCTCAGCTCTGGAAGGGTCTAGAGCCTAAATTTTTGCACTCAGGTCTAAGTCTCATGGCCCTCTATCAGAATCCAGAGTTTTGAGAAGATTTGAGAAACTTAATTTTTCGCCCAAAAAAAAAAACGAAAGGGGTACCACTGTCGTTTTTTTTTTTTTTTCGGGTCGAAATTTTGAGTTTCGATATCTCAGCTCTGGAAGGGTCTAGAGCCTCCATTTTTGCACTCAGGTCTAAGTCTCATGGCCCTCTATCAGAATCCAGAGTTTTGAGAAGATTTGAGAAACTTAATTTTTCGCCAAAAAAAAAAAACGAAAGGGGTACCACTGTCGTTTTTTTTTTTCGGGTCGAATTTTTGAGTTTCGATATCTCAGCTCTGGAAGGGTCTAGAGCCTCCATTTTTACGGCCAGGTTTAAGTCTCATGGCCCTCTATCAGAATCCAGAGTTTTGAGAAGATTTGAGAAACTTAATTTTTCGCCCAAAAAAAAAAAAACGTAAGGGGTACCACTGTCGTTTTTTTTTTTCGGGTCGAAATTTTGAGTTTCGATATCTCAGCTCTGGAAGGGTCTAGAGCCTAAATTTTTGCACTCAGGTCTAAGTCTCATGGCCCTCTATCAGAATCCAGAGTTTTGAGAAGATTTGAGAAACTTAATTTTTCGCCCAAAAAAAAAAAACGAAAGGGGTACCACTGTCGTTTTTTTTTTTTTTTCGGGTCGAAATTTTGAGTTTCGATATCTCAGCTCTGGAAGGGTCTAGAGCCTCCATTTTTGGACTCAGGTCTAAGTCTCATGGCCCTCTATAAGAATCCACAGTTTTGAGAAGATTGGAGAAACTTAATTTTTCAGGAGCGAGGAGACGAGGAGGGATATTGAGAAGCACCCACAGTCACTCACTCACATTACCACACAAACACACACTCACTGTTAGAAAACTAGCACACTTTATCTGAGATCTGTGATGTTTCCTCAGTTCCTCATCAGGGTTTCTGCTCTAGAATCTGTTTGATGTCGAAACGAAGCGACTTTATAATATGAAACACGCAAAGCTCTGATGACTTGTGTATGTGTGTCACTGATTCACATTTCAGATACTGAGATCCAGTTCAACATGTCCAGTCATCAACATCACAGATATTCGGATTCAGATAGTTATATCAGATGAGTTAAATGAGTTTGTTTGAGCGGATCTTCAACATGATGGATGTGTAATATCTACAGTTAATGTTAATAAAACACAAGATCTGAGTGTGTGTTCGCGCAACAGGGAGGAGATGCAAAGCGTTTCATCAGCATAATCACATGCTTTCATATGCAAAACCACACGAACGTTCCCACAGTTATGATTCCTATATAGAGCAAAGCTTAGGAACAACAAAGTATTTTATTTGCAAATGAACATCTCGCGGCAGGATTATTGAGATGAGCTGCAAAACAAACACATGAAGAGAGCCTTGGATCGGCTGGACTAAAGAAGAGTTTCTGTTTTTGTGAGTTTCTGAGGACGACCCTGTCTAGATACGACCCTGTTTAGAGGATGACCTTGGCTTGAGGACGACCTTGGAGTTATTAGGCCCGACCTCAAGGCATGAAGCGCTGACGGAGAGCGCTTGTAAATCGCCCACTCGCTTGACCGATGCTAATGCTAGCAGGAGTGCGGTCTTGAGCGACTGTAGCGGCTCGAAGGGTTGAGGGGTCCCAGGAGGGTCCAGTGGGCAATATCTTATGGCATTTTACTCCTTTAGTGAGGACATTTTTATTTAAGAATTTTTTGATATTTGGACTGGAAACAAGACAAGCATTGTTTGCAGTGCAATGAGAGTTGCTTTCGGGGGCGAAGAGGTCGACCTCAGCCTTGCCGAAGATGCTCCAGATTGTTTGACCCGTCTGGGGATGGAGAGGCCCGGGGAACACGTTGTCCCGGGACAGCATGCGGCTCCCTGGCTCAGGTGTGCCCATAACAGGAGGCGACGGCCTGGTCTGTACAGAGGCCTGAGTCCACCCTGGTGGCTTATGTAGGACTCTACCGCCATGTTGCTCACCTACATCCGCTCGCTCGACCTGTTTCTGTCTCCGAGGCTCCTGGGGAATGGACACGGGAGAGCGCGAGGATGGAGCCAGCGATTCAAGAACGCAGAGATGAGAGACACACTGGCGACAATCCGATAGAGAACAGACCCCTTTTGCGGCGACGTCACAGTTACGTCACGGCGCTAGCTGGAGGCAAAACAAAGTGTAAACTGGAGGCGGCCGATACAAACCAGCACAGATTCGGCTACATAATAAGGAGCTTAAATTACTTTTATTATTATTAAATGTCATCTTGTTGTGTTGTTTGGTGCAAGAATTGATGAAAAATGAATATGTTGTATCTGGAATTTTTATTTCTAGAAAATATTCACATGATTAAAATCGCACTGTAATGTCGTGGTCTCGGCTCGGCAGAACTGCGGATCGTACATACAAGTCTTGTACAGGACCATATATAGGCATCTAAAGATTTATACGCCCTCAGTTTCTCTTTACGATCGGTTTCTCTATAAGGTAGGTGTAGAAGTCAGGCCACTCACCCGAGGTAACGTACGTTAATCCTGTCAGATCGCGTGTAGGCGGCTACGGGTCGGCCAATCTGGATCCATCCGTTAAAAATAACTTTTGGAAATAACAATCGCGGTCCTGGACACTGAGTGACCTTACACATTAAGATAATATCAGATTTTCTCCAGTCATTGTTAAAAAACAAGCTAACAATCCTTGCTAACTAGCGTTCTGCCTCCACCGAAGCTCCGCCCACAAAAAAAACGTCACCATGTTTACCAACTGTAAAAGGGTCTATTGAGCTGCTTTTATAGGCAGATGCCCCGCCCCTTTGGGATGTGCCCTGATTGGCTCGTGCAGACAAGCCGCTCAGCCATTGGTTCCTGCAGTTCCACTGCATTGTTGAATAAAAGGCTTCAATAAATCTGAGAAGCGCACAGCAAAGACGTTTCGAAAGTGAACCGAGATTACGTCAGTATCCGAAACGTTTCAGAAGACAGAAAATGCCGTAACTCTTCCGAACTCAAACACTGGACAGTATAACTCGCTCCGGCTGAATGAAGACGAGTATCTGACGACAGACTCTTACACGGTTTACATCTCCTGACCTGCGGAAAAACATGTTCATTCCACGTGATAATGAAGATTATCTAATCTGTTATGAATTCAGTAAGTTCTGCTGCGATTCCTCAGGCATGATGGGAAACCGGTTCGGGGTATCTCTGATCTGTGTGTGTGTTCCCTGCTGAAGCCGGAGATCGGACAGGTGTGTGTGTGTGAAGTGAACATGTTCAGACCCGACTCGTCTGTTCACTCCGCATGAATGCAGCTCTTTATCTCCAGTCGAGCCTTGAGCTCCTGCAAACTCGACCGACCCGTTTCTGCATCAGATCTGATGCGTTCATGATCCGGTCAGGATTCTGACATCACTTCCTTCCGAAGTGATGATCGAGCTGATCTCTCGTTGGGTTAATGAAGACGCTTGATTACTATTCCAGAGGAGTTTCACACACAAGCCTCTATATTGTGTAAATGAATGATCATAGTCTATAATGTCTGATAAAACACGAACAAAGAGCACAACAGCCATCTTTATCTGCACTGGCGTGGGCAAGAGTTCATGAATAGACTGAGTCACAGAATATGAATCTGATGCATTCAGTCAAATCGACTTTGTCCAGTGAATCAATGAGACTCTGTGTGTGTGAGTGAGCAAGCGAGAGAGAGAGAGTGTGTGTGTGTGTTTTGTTTAAAGCAGAGGATCTTTTCTTTCTTTTGATAGATTGCATGTTCAGATTTTCATTCGATAAAATGTTCTAGGATCCATAAAGGTTTTGTGAAAATGATTAAAATCATTCAAAAATCAAGAAGGAAACCTTTCATTAAAATATTTATTTTTCTTTGTTCAAGAAACAAAAGAAATAAGTCAATGTATTATAACATTTCCTCATTAAAAAGATTAAAAATTAAACAAATAAATTAGGATCAATCAAGCACGGAAAAAAATTAATATAAAGTTAATAGCAGCACAAACAACTACAGTCACACACAGATTAACTAACGGATAATAGCGGTGACATCACCGTATCAAAACTGTCAAAATAAACACTAAATTCATGTGAAAATATCAGATTCAAGTAAGAACAATCTCATCATTGCGGTGAAGAGTCGAATCCTGAGAGAAGCAGAACATCCCAGACCGAGTCCGTCACAGACGCAAACCACGCTAGCATTAGCATGTGCGCTCCAGCGTTTAATCCAGCGTGATCGTGTGTTTAAGTGTGTTCAGACGGAAGTGACTTCAGTAAATCGTACGGTTTCAACAGTTCTTCACCTTTACTGAGCAACTGTGGTCATCAATGACGTGCATTTCATCTTAAAGTCCACATGAAATCAAAACTGACTGTTAGCGCACATCACTTACGATCAATCCACTGGACAGAAACGCGCTTGTCCTGGTAAAACATTATTATTATTATATTGTCTATCAAATTTTTGTTTTTGGATTGGAAATTCGGCACAAAGACCAAAGATTCTTCACGCTGACTTTAACGTCACCATTGCACTGCTTTACTTTAGTTATTTTGGACTTTTTATTTTAGTAATCAACACACAATCGGTATGAAACATTCGGAATCATCTAGTTTTGTAATTGGACACCTGCGATAATCTTTCGGCAGACTCCTCCTCTCTTTCAAAATGGACGATCTTTGGTCCAATGCATTCATGAAACTAATTCAAAAGACTGAGAACTGGATTCAAACTGGGCTGTGTTTAAACAGAACCAGATTCAAACCAAACAGTGTTTAAACAGAACCGGATTCAAACCGGACTAAGAACCGGATTAAAACTGAACTGTGTTTAAACAGAACCAGATTAAAACCGGACTGTGTTTAAACAGAACCAGATTCAAACCAAACTGTGTTTAAGCAGAACTGGATTCAAACCGGACTAAGAACCAGATTAAAACTGGACTATGTTTAAACAGAATCAGATTCAAACCGGACTGTGTTTAAAACAGAACCGGATTCAAACTTGACTAAGAACCTGATTAAAACTGGACTGTGTTTAAGCAGAATCAGGTTAAAACCGGACTGTGTTTAAACAGAACCAGATTCAAACCGGACTAAGAACCGGATTAAAACTGAACTGTGTTTAAACAGAATCAGACTAAAACCAAACTGTGTTTAAACAGAACCGGATTCAAACCAAACTGTGTTTAAACAGAACCGGATTCAAACCGGACTAAGAACCGGATTAAAACTGGACTGTGTTTAAACAGAATCAGATTCAAACCGGACTAAGAACCAGATTAAAACTGGACTGTGTTTAAACAGAACCAGATTCAAACCAAACTGTGTTTAAACAGAACCAGATTCAAACCAAACTGTGTTTAAACAGAACCAGATTCAAACCGGACTAAGAACCGGATTAAAACTGGACTGTGTTTAAACAGAACCAGATTCAAACCGGACAAAGAACCGGATTAAAAGTGGACTGTGTTTAAACAGAACCAGATTCAAACCGGACAAAGAACCGGATTAAAACTGGACTGTGTTTAAACAGAACCGGATTCAAACCAAACTGAGAACTGAATGTGTGTGAACGCATCAGTGTCTGTTTCATCTGTTCGGGAAACAAACATTTAAGACAAATGGTTGAAAAGATTCTCCTAGTCTGAGTTCTGGTTGAAGGATCGGTGTGGTTTTGTTTCTGCACCTGAAACAGGACTTACAGAAGGACCAACATGACATCATGACTTTTGTGTAAACATACACGCCACTTTCAAGTCAAGTGGCGTGTTATCTCGACGCATTTTCAGATATCCGCGTGTATGTCTACGCCATTAACGTCCGAGTGATTCCGCGTGTCTGAACACGCCTTTAAATGTCCGAGCGAAACGGAGCAAAATGTAGATCTACATCTGGGGAGCGATCTTTTTCTTTCCTAGGATGGTGAGGGAACAGTCGTAAATGCCATTAACCCCAGTGACGGGATGGTTTAGGGGCGGGGTTGAGGTAAGTCATATATTTATAAATACAGTAATAACGTTAAGTCAACGGCTTTCATAAACACGCTGAAAAGCGATTATGCATGTCGATAGCACGCCAAAAATGGAAATACGAATTGGCGTGTCATACACACGCTACTTCATGAGATCAGTCTGGAAGGACACTGGGAAACAATCAGGATTTCATTAATCAGTTCGTAAGACTGCAAACTTCCCCTGACATGCGGGTCGAGAGGCGTAATCTCTGTAATGGTTTCTGCCCATTTTCACATGATGTAATATAAATCTCTGATGTCCTCAGTGTCAGCTCAGACTTCACCAGGATTAATTATTATAGCTCGTCAAATTTGCCCCTTTTTTATGTGTGAGGGAAATCGCTCCGTTTTTGTGTGTGTCACTTTAAATGCAAATGAGCTGATGCTCCGCCCCCGTTCGAGTTTAGAGTTTAGGTTATCTGAAGCAGTAGTACTCGTCGGTCTCCACACGAGGGCGTAGGGCAGATTTGGTAAACGTCTCCTCCTCGGTGACGGATCCGTCGGGATCGGGATCGTCCTCTCCCAGCGTGTCCAGGTAACTGCCCACCGAGATCCCGTCCAATCCGTCGCTGTCGTGCTGGGACTGGCTGTCTGATAGGCTGAAGGAGCTGCCCGTCAAGCTGCCGTCCCGGCTGGCCACGCCCCCTCGCTCCTCCATTAGCCAGCGCATCGACTCCACCCCCTCGTTGATTGACAGCAGCTGCTGCATCAGTTTAACGTCTATCGAGCGGAGATGAGCCTGCGTTCAGGAAACACATCCACAAACTTATCAATATTAAGATTATGATTTCTGTTATCTTTCTATTTTACATTTCTGTTACCTGTAATCAACTTAGAAATAATTAGGGATGCACCGATATGAACATTTTGTCCTATACCTTTAACTCTTTATATTTTAAAGCCGATAACTGATATATTGCCTAATAAATATAAATCCAAATTTTTTAGATCCTGATTACGAACACAAAAGTCTCACCATTAAAAGCCACCTCCTAAAAACACAATTATAATGTTCTCATGATAGTTTTATGTAGTCGATATGACACACTCGCGCTGCACATGTTGCACTTTAGTGTATTTTCCTTTTTTGAAGTGATTCCAATCATATTTATAGCAATTAAAAACCCTCATATTGAACGGTGAGCATCTGAAGCGTCTCAGCTGAAGGAAATAATACATTATTTATCGCTTTTATTATATCAGACAAATTTTCTTATCGGGCCGATAACCATAACATAAAAAAAACATATCAGCCGATACCGATATGATGGCCAATATATCGTACATCGCAGGAAATAATTACATAAATAATTAAAAAATTATTTCTAATTTTTCTAAAAGTCTTCGGCTGCATTTATTTGATGAAAAATACAGTAAAAACAGTGAAATATTATTATAACGTAAATCAGCTGTTTTCTATGTGAATATACAGTAAAGTGTAATTTATTCCTGTGATGTTCATCATCATTACTCCAGTCTTCAGTGTCACATGATCCTTCAGAAATCACTCTAATATGAGGATCTGATGCTCAAGAAACATTTATGATTATTATCAGCGTTCATATTTTCGTGGAAACTGATACATTTCATTTTTCAGGATTATTTGATGAATAGAAAGTTAAAAAGAACAGCATTTATTTGAAATGGAACTTTATTAATGTCTTTACTGTCACTTTTGATCAACTGAATGAGTCGTTGCTGTATTCGTTTAAAAACACATGATCATGAACCCGAACTGTTCACCGGCTAATGTCTGTGGAATAATGTTTGTCTAATACTTCAAATCATCTACCATCTGCATTCAGCAAATAAATCATTTAACCAAGTCTTGCAGACCTATGAGATATATATATATATATATAACACACATCATATACCATACAAATCAAATTTAAAAACTGGATATCGGTCGACGCTTCAACACAAACGCGTTCACTTCATATTTTAGCAAAATCGTATTAAATTTGGTTTTAAATGGAGGAATTGAATGATGTTCGTGTTCAAACACAAGAGCTGATTCCACTCATGTTATATACAGTAATGTAAAGTACAGCTGGTGGAGTTTAGTTCTGACTGAAACTCAAAAGAGTCGAACTATTAGACACTGAACCAGTTGTCAAGTGAAGACAGTCAAGAGTAAACACAGGCGAACCCTTTAGCAGAAACACACACACTCATTTACATGAGGTTTGTGTGGAACAGGAACACACACCCCTAATCAATCATGAATGATTCAGACAGACCATAATACTGCCACTGTTCTCCACGGCAACAGCTGTCTGACACACACACACACACACACACGACATCAGATCCTCTCGTCAATACTGACACACTTCCAGTCTGATGATCTGATGTGTGTGTGTGTGTGTGTGTGTGTGTGTGTGTGTGTGTGTGTGTGTTGACCTGTAAATGCCCCTCATGGCGGCTCTTTATGATCGTTCAGGCTTGCACAGGTCACGACCTCTCTCACACACACACACTATATCACAAACACACACACCAAACAATCTGTGCCATTATTTGTCAAGTAAAACTAGAAATATTTCAAACCGTTAATAGAAAATGAAGCAGCAGCAGATCACGTGTTCAAACGAGGACTCTCAGTCGAGCCGGAGCACTGAAGAGTCATAATAATAAACCGCACTTTCAAGGGTTAATGAGGTGTAAAGTTTCCTTTTAAGGGCGCAGTGTGTGTGTGTTTGTGTGTTTCCACATTAACGAACAGCCTGTGTTGCTGAACCGACTGGTTTTGTTGAGTCTGGTGTGTTTGTGCAGGAGTGAATAACAGCAGGAGCGCGGATCAACCATCTGTTACTCACACTAAACCCTTCAGAAGCCATGCAACACACACACACACACACACACACACACACACCTCAGATCATCCGGAGACTCGCGCGCGACGGGGCGTGAAACACCGCAGCCCACGTGACCGCGACACGAACACAGCGAGTCAATATTAATACACACATAACATAATCATCACAGAATAAACCAAAACTTGAATACAGCCTATATCTTTCTTGATTTCAGTTCACTTCTGGAGGAGTTTGTCTGAACTCTAGGTGTTTGTTCATGTCAATCAATATCTGAGATTAATTATTCACTTTATGATTCACATCTCATTATAAGTGCTTTATGGCTGCTGTTGACGATTATATGAAAACAGATCCGACTCTCTCAGTCCACAGAACCGACTCACCATCTGCTGTCTGAGGAACCGGATCTTGTTGTTGAGTGTGTGTAGATCATCCGCGCGCGCGTGTGTTTCCGAGCATCGGATCGCAGCTTCGCCCGTGCACGAGCGGGTCAGACTCTCCGGAACTTTCCGGCCCAGTTTACTCTCCACATCCCTGAAGTCCGGCAACTCCTCCATCTTCATCATCGATAACTCAGAGCCGCAGGTGACCGGTCAACCGGAGCATGACGTCACACCGCGGAGGAGCCGCGCCCGGAGCTCACGGGTGTCAGAAACACGGATGAGCTCAAACTGCGGGGCTTCCGTGCACAGACTCGGATCTGATCTGGTCGGGCTGACTGACGGGTGCGCGCGCACACAACAGGTGACATCCGCCCTCATGCGCGTCATCAACCGGCGCATGCGCAGAGCGCTCTTTCGCATTAGTCTATTAGACACTTTTTTGAACAAACGTACACCAGCAACATAAAAAGGGTGCAAACTACTTCCTATTTAATCTGAGTAAACTGTAACGTGAGCTCAGGCTGATTGTATTTTCACAAGGATATTTCAATACAGACTAATGTAATCACCTGTTGAAAAGCAGTGAAGCAGCAGCGCCATCCAGTGGTGACATTAAGAAACACCAAACAAGTGCATTAGGCTACTTTAAACTGAATATTATTGCTTTATATCTTTATTATGATGATACAGATTAAGCTGAAATATTCTAAGCGACAACCTTTAAATAATGTTATGTTTTGCAAATGTTTTTGCCAGTTATGTTTAGCAAAAGTCGCTCAGTTAAATGTGTATTCATGCATTTGCTGTGAACATATTCACATTGTGAAGCAGCAACGCCATCTAGCGGTGCAATGAGGAAACACCACAGAGACTCGGTACACTACAGTTTGTTGATGGTTTATTTGAGTCTTTTTAGTATGAGCTTTAAAGTTTTCACAATAAACTATTAAATAATGTCCAAAGATATTTTGTAAACAGATTTAATGGAAGTTGTCATGATTATTTTACATTATTTCAGTGATATCAGGTAGTTTTATGAATGTCATCTTCGGTTTGTCATAGTAAAGACTTGTACCTGTTTGAGATCATATTATCAGTGTTTACACTACAGACTGTGTTTTGTTGTGGTCGTCGTAGCGCTGATAATGGTCTCCAAGCAACGGTTGCCGACCCTCCGTCCTATAGGAGCGTGACCTGATGACACATGTGGTGGCGGTGAAAATAATCGCCACGGCGATGAGGGCGGAAACCACGGTTACGGTGATGATCTGGGTCAGTGTGAGAGGAGGGGCTGAAAATAAAAGACAATCACACATCAGCAGCATTTTAGTTCACTTTTAGTTCACTACAATTCGCTAGAGTTCACTAGAGTCAACTAGAGTCATCAAGTTCACTGGAGTCAATTAGAGTTCACCAAATTTTACGAGTTACCTAGAGTTCACAAAAGTTTACTTAAAGTACATTAAAGTTTACTAGAGTCAACTAGAATTCACTAAAGTGTACTAGAGATCACTGAAGTTCAGTCGAGTCAACTAGACCAAAGTTTACTAGAGTCCATTAGAGTTCACTGAAGTTTACCAGATTTAACTAGAGTTCACTAGAGTTGACGGATCATAAATAATATTAATCATCAGCATATAAAATAATAACAATAATAAACAATAATAATAACGCTGATCATATAATAATAATAATAATAAATCTGACCTGGCCACTGGATCTGGTAGGAGTATCCCAGGTTCTCCGGCGCCGTGAGGAACATCTCTGCGTTGGTCACCGGCGGCCAGAAGGGCACCATGTTAAACTCTCTGTTGTGTCCGATGGGGGTGTTTTCCAGCGGATAGACGGAGGCGTCTGGAGGAACACACACACACACACGTTAACCTCCGGCCGATACTCTGACTGACGGCGACGGATGACCTCACCTGGACCGTGTCTGCGCAGCCACTCGTCGAAGATGGCGTCAGTGAAGGTGTGCAGCAGCAGGAACACGGGGTCGTTGGGCGAGAGGTGAGTCTGACCCCCCGTCCCGTTCAGGAACAGATGAGCCAGGTTATGCAGACTGCGCACCGCGGGGTCATAGGTCCCGTCAGGAGCGCTGTACCCTAACGAAACCACACCTCATCACACACACACACACACACACTGCAGCTGGACTAGAGTTCAGAGTTCGCGTCTCACCCTCAATGCTGTTCCTGAAGCTGTCGGACGAGGTGGAGTAGAAGGGCGGCGTGTCGAAGGCGTTGAGCTCGAAACACGACGCCACATCCTGAGGCTCCGGCAGACGCTGCACCATCGGCCGCGCAGCGTTCCCGGCGGGGTTCCTGCGGATCGGACTGCTCTCCGAACCTCACAACAATCATCATAGCAATATTACTTCAAAACATTCATAGAAAGAAATAAAAAATGAAAATTATATTAATAAACAAATACAAAAATTCATAAACATTAATAATAATAATATTGATGATGATATCATTACATACAAAATAATAATTCTAATAATAATAACAATAATACTACTAATAGTATTAATAATAATCAGCCTGCGGCCCGTTTCAATAAGGAGGTTCAACCAACTCTGAGTTAAAGCGTTGACTTACCCTGAGATGGGAAACTCAGAACAGCTGAAATCAGTTGGTTCATTCAACTCTGAGTTAAAGGGATACTCCACTTTTTTTGGAAATAGGCTCATTTTACCACTCCCCCAGAGTTAAACGGTTGGGTTTTACCGTTTTCGAATCAATTCAGCCGATTTTCTGATATTTAGAAGAATATCAGTAACCAGACGGTTTCTGGTCTCATTGACTTCCATAGTAGGAAAAAATATACTCAATGAGACCAGAGTCTGGTTACTGATATTCTTCTAAATATCAGAAAATCGGCTGAATGGATTCGAAAACGGTAAAACTCGACCGTTTAACTCTGGGGGAGTGGTAAAATGAGCCTATTTCCAAAAAAAGTGGAGTATCCCTTTAAGCGCGAGCACCACTACTATAAACAGCCATTATCAATCGAGCGCAGATATTATGAGTCACCATGGCAACAGCGCCGGACAAAAAGAGGTGCTGGGTGTAATTAATTACCAAGTAATCTAAATATTATAATTTAATTAAAGGGATTACTCTTAACTTCTCTGTAATTTAAAATAAATTATGATGCAATTACATTAAATATGCTATAGACCAATTCAGTATAAAACAATAGTGGATCCAACAAACATTTTTAAAAGGTATATTTTTTATGTAACCTTCTCCCTCTACACACTTTGATTAATTTAAGAATAATTCATGCAATTGTATATTAATTATTGTATATTAATTATATTAATTGTATATTGTTAATTGTGTATTGTATATTTTTAATTGTATATTGTATATTGTTAATTGTATATTGTATATTTTTAATTGTATATTGTATATTGTTAATTGTATATTTTTAATTGTATATTGTATATTTTTAATTGTATATTGTATATTGTTAATTGTATATTGTATATTTTTAATTGTATATTGTATATTGTTAATTGTATATTTTTAATTGTATATTGTATATTTTTAATTGTATATTGTATATTTTTAATTGTATATTGTATATTTTTAATTGTATATTGTATATTGTTAATTGTATATTGTTAATTGTATATTGTATATTGTTAATTGTATATTTTTAATTGTATATTGTATATTGTTAATTGTATATTGTATATTGTTAATTGTATATTGTATATTTTGGCGGTACTTCTATCGGGAGAGATCCTCTAATTACCCGTTTTGGCCGTGGCACGTTGAGGTTGAGACCTGCACTGCCCTCTAGAGCCCCGGCTCGGGATCTGGCTTTTGTATTTGAGGGTCCGGCATTTGCTCCCTTCGAGTCCATTGAAGAGCGTCTCGGGTCAGTATTTAGTCACCTTGAGAGGGAACGAGACGCTGCGTTCGCCTGCTAATTGTCGCGGTCTGCTTTCGGGGGTGCTTTATAGTTTCCTGGTCTATGACGTCACCCGCCTATGACGTCTCGGACTGAATCATGTGCTTCACGACGCAATCACACAGAGCGTTCCCACCGCGTCTCGAACGCAGCGTCTCGTTCCCTCTCGGGGAAACAGGGCTACATACGTAACCTGAGACGTTATAGTTATTGTTCTCGCTGTGATTACGGTTCTAGATATGATTCCTAGATTAGTTATGGTTATAGTTATGTTTCTCAGTGTGAACGGCTACTGGTGATGGGCTCTCACTGTTGCAGATGGTCCCCAGTGTGTCGTAATCCTCCACGCTCTCACACACCACCCTCCAGCGTGAGAAGATGGAGTTGGAGCTGATGGAGTCGGTGTCGAAGGAGCTGCGTGCGCCCATCAGATCATCCGTGCAGACGTCACACACACTCCCGCCGATCGCAAAGTTCCAGTACGGCAGCGCGAAGCTCGGGTCTCCCAACATGTCCTGAGAGAAACCAGTCAGATCACAGTCAATATCCGAGAGAAACCAGTCAGATCACAGTCAATATCCGAGAGAAACCCGTAGCACAACGCCATCTCGTTCTACTCTTCAAAAACTGGGAGAATTTGACATTTGAACCTTCAGTGATGAAGCGCTCTGAGACACACGAGTCTTGAGTGAGACTGTTAAACGCTTAATCACATCAAGAGTGAATCTGTGTTCCTTTCCATTACTATGATTATAATCACTTATAACGGTTCACAGATCATGAGTATCTGGAGTATCGATCTACAATCGCAGATCATTAGATTATTTGTCAAATAAACACTGTCTTTTAAAAATAAAAATCTGCCTGACTCTATGGGAATTTAACATAGGGGTGCCCTGACTTATGCACCCTGTATTTTAAGGAAAAACATTTATTTATTTATGATACATTATTCATTCACAAAGAAAATTGGTGTCCTTACAGGTTGGAGTTTTCCTCATTTTTCTAATTAAGGCATTAAGATCAATATCCAAAAGATGATTTTTTTATTCCTCTTTTTAGGCAACGTTAGCATGGGGGCCAAAACTTATTCACACCACTGTAGACCACATAGAGCCCCAAATATTGTCCCCATCCTAAAACTTAAAAAGCACCTCTCTTTTATAAGCAAACTGCACTGAAAAATTATAAATAGCATAAAAAGTATTTTTTTTTTCCTATTAAATTTGTTATTTATTTATTTAGTTAATGTTTTTAATATATACCACCCAATCGAATAGATTCTCATGAAATTGTCTACGCAACACAATATTAAAATGTTCCAGATGGCGCAAATGATCAACAGTACCTGCATGTCCCGCTCGAGCTGTAGTAAATGGTACCGGTGCCACGTGACGAACCCGGGCCCCTCGTGACTGAAGTCCACCCCGCCGAAGCTGTCCTGCGCGGGCCCGAGGAACGTCTTGCTGACCGAGTAATAGTGGGACCACACGAACAGGTTATAGATGCTGATGTTCTCGAACTGAACCGTGTTGTTGTCCGGCCCGAAGATCTCGGGGTACCGGCGAGTCGCGATCACGAGGTCAGGGTGGGGCGCGCGCTTAGCCCGGTCCAGCGCGTTCACGAACGCGCGCTTCTCCTCCGCGCTCAGCTGCATCACATTCCTCCGCACTGTAGAATCATAACCATATAAAATGTATATTAATCATTTACGCATATTGTATATTTTATGTATACTTAAACATTATATATTAAATATTGACAGTTCCCTGCTGAAAATCCCCCCCGGCCGAACTCAACATGATTCAGGCTAATGCTGGTTTCAGAACATCTACTCAAGTTGGTCAACAAACTACCATGTGAATCTGTTTGACCAAGAATGGTACTGAGGTTAAAGGGATAGTTCACCCAAAATTAGCGCATGATTTACTCTCCCTTATCCTAGGACCGAGGTGTATATTTCTTCTTTCCGACGAATACAATCTGAGTAATATAAATATTTATATAAAAATGTCTACCAAGCTTTATAATGGCAGTGAACGGCTATCTGTTTTGAACTTAAGTGCATCTATTCATCATAAAAGTGCATCTGTCCATCATAAAAGTGCATCTGTCCATCATAAAAGTGCATCTATCCATCATAAAAGTGCATCTGTCCATCATAAAAGTGCATCTGTCCATCATAAAAGTGCATCTGTCCATCATAAAAGTGCATCTGTCCATCATAAAAGTGCATCTATCCATCATAAAAGTGCATCTATCCATCATAAAAGTGCATCTGTCCATCATAAAAGTGCATCTGTCCATCATAAAAGTGCATCTGTCCATCATAAAAGTGCATCTATCCATCATAAAAGTGCATCTGTCCATCATAAAAGTGCATCTGTCCATCATAAAAGTGCATCTGTCCATCATAAAAGTGCATCTGTCCATCATAAAAGTGCATCTATCCATCATAAAAGTGCATCTGTCCATCATAAAAGTGCATCTGTCCATCATAAAAGTGCATCTGTCCATCATAAAAGTGCATCTGTCCATCATAAAAGTGCATCTGTCCATCATAAAAGTGCATCTGTCCATCATAAAAGTGCATCTGTCCATCATAAAAGTGCATCTATCCATTATTAAAGTTCATCCATTCATTTGTAAACTAAGAAAGTGCTTTAAGTAGAATGCAAATGGCCGGAAGATAGAATTTTACTGTGTTAAATATGATTTTTTATATATATATATATATATATATATATATATATATAAATCCAATAGTATTTGTCTGAAAGAACAAAGTTACACATGACTTGAGGGAGAGTAAAACGTGGGCTAATTTTCCTTTCTGGATGAACTATCCATTTAAGCGGGTGTTTCAGCAGGGCTGTGGAACAGAAAGAGTGAGTTTCCCTGACCCACGGGCACGCGCCGCTCGCACGCGTCTCCGGTGTGTCCGTGTTTGCAGTGCCCGCAGTCGAAGCCGCTGAAGTTCCCGTTACATCGACACGCGCGCGTGAAGAAGCGCAAGGGCCAACGCTCGCGATCATCGCGTCCGTCGTAGGGGTACTGGGGTCCGTGTGCACGCGCATCCGCAAGCACTTCCACGCAGTTCCCGCGCCCGGAGCTCGCGCCACAGGGGTCATTCTCCAAAGCGAACGGGGACGGGCAGCACTGCGCGCTCCTGAGGCCCTCCGGCGTCACGCACACGCGCGGGAACTGAGCGCAAACGAGCACTAGACCGTGCACGAGCAGCAGCAAACCTCCACACAATCGCCACATCAGGACAATATCAAAAGAAATCAATTAATAGGCTATACAAATAGTCTCCGAGAAAAAGGTCTCAAAAATAGCCAGGTGCTCTGAAAAATAATTAATAAATCAAATGTCGAACGCAATCAGCAATATCCAAATTATCTTCAAAACAACAAAGGCTCAAACATCATCATCTCCTAAATCAGTTATTAAGATCTGTAAGTGTGGCCGGTGGTTGTTTGCTGCTCCTCTCGCTGCAGATCCAGTGTTTTGAGGAATTATTGTTAATATCCTGAGTTTATATACGGCCGAGCGCGTGCGCGTGACTCCTGCATCCCTGATCCCCACGTGACCGCGAACTCACTGACACACACTTCACCTTTAGTTCAGCAAACACCGCAGTGTGTGAATACTCGTTCATAATTAAATGGAATATTAGTAACAAGTTTTTAGATTTGTGATCATTCGTGTATCTGAGGATATAGAGTAAATCAGCTGAGAGCGAGAGACACTGACTGACACCTGCTCACTTTACCACTCTATTTTAATTTATTTCTTTTTTTATAAGAAGAAGTAAATTGTTATATTTTTTGGATGGAAATCAGTGTATAATTTGTATAATATTCTACAATCTTTCTCCTGATTCATTCTTTGGGATTTGAGACCTGAGGTGTTTCCACATTTAAAAGTCATGTGAGGAAGCTAATCCAACACACACACACACATTCTCTCTCTCTCACACACACACACATTCTCTCTCACACACACATTCTTTCTCACACACACACACGCACACAGATCAGATGCTCCTCATGAGGAAAACTGCTCTCTCGAAACAACGTCACAAACACACGCGACTCTTTACTATCATATACAGTAAAATATTATATGATCAATAAGTTATGACAACAAAATTAACTGGAAAATCAACTTTTTTAAAAAATGATACAAGCTTCAACTATTTTTTTTTTTAGTTTAATGTAATTTAAGTTGAAATGACTGAAACATCGAAGTTGAACATTTTTTTACAAAGTGTGGAAATTAGGGTTTGCTTCAGTGTGTGTAAAACCACAGGATAAACAATAGAAGCCCAAGTGTGTGTGTGTGAGAGAGAGTGAGATTGTGTGTGTGTGTGTGTCAGATATCACACACACACACACACACACACACACACACAGCATGTGAATCGGTGTGACTGGTGAGTTGTTCTGGTAGAAACAGAAACTTCCAGATTTCCGTAATTTCCTCACAATCGTCAGCGTTAATGAGTGAACGTGCAGTTCCTGACATCAGACCAGTCCAGACGGGCCATCTCCACACACTCACACACACACTCCTGCTGGTTTGATCTCATGTTGAATCACTGAAGTCTGCTTGAGAACCACTGACTCACCGAAGCATCTTCATCTTTAATGGCTTCATCAGCCAAGCCCTCTCAAAAAAGAAACAAAACAAGCACTAAAAAGAACACAAATTGTACACTTTATATTTACTGATATTTAATGATTTTTAGATTACATTTAATAGATAAACTTTCACGAAAGCATTTGCAATAGGTTGTAGAGTGAAGCAACGGGACTCAGAGTTTCCAAAAGATCCAAAAGAAAGTGCTCTAAGAAATGTGAGATCCAGATCAGTGTGTGTGTGTGTGTGTGTGTGTGTGTGTGTGTGTCAGAGGTTGCGTTAGACTTACTTCGCATTGGGTTGTAAAAAATCCATCATAATCTATTAATTCCTGACATTTTAATGTAATGTGATTTTAATAATCACATTTTAATGATAATAAGCCATTTCATCGTTTTTGTTCACATTTTAATTTTTATTCACAAACATTCAGGAGGGGCATATAGGCCAGATTACGCATCTATTTATTCATGAAGAGAAAGTTGAACAGAGACTGTGCGTCACTTTTCTGGTTTCATCATGAATGTTTGTCCAATAAATCACAATAAGCTTTGTTATTTTTGATATGAAACAAAGTTTCAGATTTCATATCCTGTCTATTTTATCACAAAATTCAAACAATAAATACCGTTTTGGCGCTCTTTAACGTGGTTCGAGAGTTTAAGTGAAGCACAGCGTGAGTAAACGCGATCAATTCCTTCACCATTACAGCATTACACAATGAAATAATGAATGAACATCAAAAAAAAAATGTTGAAAGATACAGTCCAGCTTACCGAAGTCCATATCACGTCTCATGTAATCGCTCACTCCGTGTTCAACCACAAAAAGTATTGTATTCATAACTCAGGGTACGTTTACACCACAACGATATGCTCAAAACAGAGTTTTCCGCATACAGACGACACCTAAAACGACTAAAAACGCTGTATTCTGCTGCTAAGCCAGAAGATGGCGATGAAACACTATAGAGTGAACACGAAATACGCATGTGCATGACGTCATCATCTTCAGAGATTCGCGTTTTAGTCGTTTAAACTGAGAGCGCTTTCAAAAATCGAAACCAGTTTTCAAAAGTTTGTTTTCAGGCGGCCAAAACGCAGTTTTCGTGTAAACGAACGGCCGAAACGCATAAAAAGTTTTACGTTTTTAGTTGAAAATGTTGTCGTGTAGACAGTCCTTTATAAAACCATTCCATTGAACATTAACTTTATAGTGCGCAAGAGGCGCTCGCCACCAAGTGGACAAGAGTGAGAATTACACTTACAACACATCCCTCTCAATGCAATCTTTCAAAATGACAGACGGCTTTCAGATTTTTACGTCACTGCTAAAAAAAATGTATGTCAATTAAGTTGCGTTTCGGTTAACGCAACCTCAAGTGTGTGTGTGTGTGTGTGTGTGTGTGTGTTAGGCTTGCTCATTCTGTTCGATGTTGGCAACAAGTCCCTTTGTGTCGATAGTGGCGGGAGGCCGAGTGGGGTCCGAGTTGAAGTAGAGGCTGTTGTCAAACGTACACTCTCCGAACACCGGCCTCGGGCTCCTCCTGACGAACAGGAATGTGGCGAGTCCTGCGACGGCGAGTATGACCAACACGACCCCGACGGCGATCCCCGCGGAGCCGTGAGGAGCCTCTTCCACCACAGCGACTGCAACACCACACAGCATTTCACTCGTCTTATCAATAAATGTGTAAACTTTGACAGCCCTAATTATAATTCATTTCAATGATTACACGGCTCTGCCGAATACTTGATTCTGATTGGTTAATTGCATCATCTAACTGCACATTATTCCCAGATAACAAGAAGGCTCATCCGGGTCACGGAAGTCATCAGCGATTTACACTCGATAGGAACAGTTTTTCTTCATGGAAGTTTTGCGTTTGGTGAGCTAATAAAATATTAAAACTCAGTCAAATCAATATTTAGTGCATACAGTTATTTAATTATGCCATCCAGTATCGAGGACTTGCTCTCTCTTGTTTCATACAAACGCAGTGGCGGCCATTTTGTGACTATTGTTTTGTATTACTAATGTAACTAATGTAATAAATTAGTGCTGTCAAACGATTAAAATATTCAATCGCGATTAATCGTATTAATGTCATAGTTAACTCGCGATTAATCGTATTAATGTCATAGTTAACTCGCGATTAATCGTATTAATGTCATAGTTAACTCGCGATTAATCGTATTAATGTCATAGTTAACTCGCGATTAATCGCATTAATGTCATAGTTAACTCGCGATTAATCGCATTAATGTCATAGTTAACTCGCGATTAATCATATTAATGTCATAGTTAACTCGCGATTAATCGCATTAATGTCATAGTTAACTCGCAATTAATCGTATTAATGTCATAGTTAACTCGCGATTAATCGCATTAATGTCATAGTTAACTCACGATTAATCGCATTAATGTCATAGTTAACTCACGATTAATCGCATTAATGTCATAGTTAACTCACGATTAATCGCATTAATGTCATAGTTAACTCGCGATTAATCGCATTAATGTCATAGTTAACTCGCGATTAATCGCATTAATGTCATAGTTATCTCGCGATTAATCGCATTAATGTCATAGTTAACTCGCGATTAATCGCATTAATGTCATAGTTAACTCGCGATTAATCGCATTAATGTCATAGTTAACTCGCGATTAATCGCATTAATGTCATAGTTAACTCGTGATTAATCGTATTAATGTCATAGTTAACTCGCGATTAATCGCATTAATGTCATAGTTAACTCACGATTAATCGCATTAAACGAGCTAAACTGACAGACCTATAATAAATATTTCAACTCAGATCAATATTTCGTGTGTAATTGTACACTTATGTGGCAAGTGTCCATGTAATAAGCGGGATAATGTACATTCAGCCGTTTGTTATCTCAGAATAAACCCCTTCAGGCTGATGATGAAGTCCTGATCCTGATCACCCTGTCTGGGTTTATTCTGAGATAAGATGTGCATTATCTCTCACTAAATGAAATGTAGATACACACCTGGTATCGCTGGTTTCTCTGTTGGTGGTATAACTGAAATATAAAGACATATTTATAACTATTAAACTGAAAGGAAAAAATAAACTATCAATGTTGCTTTCGTGCATTTGCCACTAACCTTTTGGAGTCTTGCAGATATAAGGCCTGTAAGAGTTGCAGTGAGCCGTGCTCCACATCCCAGTGCTCGACTGCACTTCCACACACTGGCCAATGTCATTGGGCATCCGGGGCTTCCAGTTCGTGTAATCCACCACCGTGTTATCAATCCACATCCATTCACCTGCGACAGACACGCTTTCAGAGGGTGTTCGGAGATCATTTTTAGCATTGTGTGTGCTGGAATAAGTACATTTCTAACCCGAATGACTGCGGTGCATGCCGATCCAGAAAGATTTGATTCCATCCTGCAGGATCTCCACGTTCTGAACGATAAACTGGGATTCGACTGAGTCCTCGATACTCACCAACGATGCCCCTGAAATTACATCATAGTTGTTTTTCTGTGTTTTGCTAGTGATTAAAGGGGTCATGGGTTTTCTCAAAACTCCCGTTGGGGTTCAGTCTCTAAACGGTTGTCATTTGCCTTCTCTGGATGTGAGCGTCACGTCAAAAGCAAACAAAAGCCATTACAATGACTGACGCTGTCTACACTGATACAGATGTGTGTTCAGTTTCTGACGGTCTGTCGACAACAAGAAAACTGGAAAATTTGCTTTGATTGTCCAGTTTAAACAGCTGGTTTGAGTCCCTCTACAGACTTCAGGAGATCCCAGCGTCTGAATACAGTGGATGGTTTATTTTAATGGCGTCCCGGATCGCATCGGGCGATTACATGTTTGTTCGGAGCATTTGACTGAGGCACAGTGTAATGGAGAGCTCGCAAAGAAACTTTCAACTTTGAGCATTATCATTTTTCCACATATAGTAGATCAACATTATAAGTGAACCTCAAGGAACATATTAAAATATATATCCATGTCATGATGATGCTGTTTGAAATGAAAGTGAATGAGTATCATAATATAGTTTCACAGCATACATGTGGATTCTGTTTAAGTTAAAAGAGATCATCTACTTGACAGAAAGTAATGCCAACCTATTCTCAAGCACTCCACGGTGGCATGAGCCCAGTTGTCCGACATGGAGGTCATGAAGGCGTAGCAGTGTCCTCTGAAAGGGATCCAGGTTTTGCGCTTCTTTGACTCAGGGCAGTTCCCCGGCATCTGAGGCGGGTCTGTGGGAGCGATGTCTGACGGAAGGAACCGGGAGTTAATAAACTATAAAAGTGTTCGTTTTAATGTTTAAGTTTTAGCTTTAAATGTTATAAAGTGATTAAAAAAAATCAATCGATACCCAATCCTAGTTATAATGCACACTTTCCAGCCAATCAGAATCGAGTATTCAGACAGACCATGGCATACAGTACATTCTTTGCCATTTTCTATATTTTGAGCTATGGTAATACCACACCAGCTCCCGAGTAAAATTATTCAAGACAATGGCATGCAGAATTTTGAATGAAATACCTGGGGATCGCTTGCACAGGGAATAATATGTGTTGTCGCATGAAGCCGTTTTCCAGTCGCCATCCGTATCAATATATACACACGCTAAATTGTTTTTGGGCTCTCCTGATGCCCATTTGCTGTATCTAAGAAGCCAGTTGTCCACCCAGCGGTAACGGCCACTAGTCTGAAGCAAACAAATTTAATTCGTAGGACATTAAAAACATGATTTTGTCATTTTTGTCAACATCTTTAACATTTTCTATCAAGCAAACAAATTGTTAACCCTAATCCTCAATCCCGAACATAACCTATTCCTCCAATTTTGTCCATAACAGGGACATTTTAGTCCTATCTTTTTTTGGAGGGCATAATTATTCATTTTGTTGGCATTAATCCTGTGATGGCTCTGTTATTCCAGGAACCACAGGGATATTGCTCTAGGAAATATTTATCATTTGCCAAAAGCCATGTTCCACACTGCCGAACATGCAATGTCATATTTAGGTTGACATATTGAGCTTTTTTATTTCATCGTGATGGGGTACCAGGTTGCTGTTGAGGCCGATCCACAAAGGCTCCTTGAGTTTGCTGACTCTGAGGACGGTGTACGCCTGGCTGATGGAGTCGAGCACACTGGCCAGGTCCGCATCATCCGCTTTACACTGTCTCCTTGCTTCATCCCAGCTCATTTTCATCATCTGCACCTTATATGAATCATTTCCCATTGTGAAAAAATGTTGTGGCATTACTGTGGTCACAGGACGAGGCAGCTGAGAGTCTGTAACACCAAGGTTAAATACATCAGTTGAAATGAGCATTGACATGGTTTTATAATTACTGATTTGTGTTCAGATTGTAAGCAGTGTGGGTATCTCCCTCTAACCTGTTGTCCTCTTGCAGATGAACCCTCTCTCATCTGAGCAGAGTTCGACTTTCCACGCACCCGTCATCTTTCCTGGGTTTCTAACCATGACGACACAGTCATAGTTCTAGATAGAATAGAGTTCAGATAAATTAACTCCGGATTTTAAAAACACAACCAAACAAACATAGCCTGTGAGAATTGATACTGTTAGAAGTAACTCGTCCCCGCAAGATTACTTTGTAGAAGATACGAGTTCACAATCAGCTGTTGTTTACACTGCTTACAGGCAGGTTTAAAGTGCATTTTCAGATTTTAAAATTATGTTTATAAAGTTTCCAATGTGTTTTGCACCAATAAAAGTCCAATATTTGTAAAAAAAAAAAACTTTTTAAAAATAATTTTTCATTCTTATTTTCACACTTGGTGAAGAACATTGAATCTCAATGGGTGTGGCCTCTTCCAGAGACTGAAGTAAGCGTCAACCGCTGTGATTGGCTAACGTCATCGCATTTTCGTGTTCCTAATTTTTAATGATTTTTTGAGGGGGGCAAAAATGTCAGGTAAAGAACTAAAAAATATAAAATTCGGTCAGATTTGCTTGTGTCAGATTTCCTCTGTCGGGTCTATTTTGCTTGGGAACTAATGTGGTCGGAACCAAAGTTACTTGACTGCGTTCTTTAGAATCCTCTTAAGGGGAGCACTTCTACATTCCAATTGGTTGCCGCCAAACCGCATCATAGCTCATTACCATAAAGTTGACCTGACTTCAACTTCTCCTCGCCGCCGGCGCACATTTAAAATTAATGACTTCCAGCCACTTTAACGATCTCCCTGGCGGCGGTGTGAACGCACGTTTTTTATGCAACAAAAAAGTGTGCATCACAAGAAAAACAATAATTGTTTTTGGTCAGATTTGGATAATTTTAGGAATGTTTTGTATGTCTGGCATAAACATCTCATCTCAAAAGATTATCTCTGATGATTATGGTCATCTTTATAGACACAAGATAACCTTTGTCAGCAATATGGTGTGAACACCTGCCTGTGAATCAAAGTAGCCATACATCCTGGAAGAGCCATCTGGGAGCGATGAAGGTTGACCCTTGGCCCAGTTCGTGTAGCTGACACCGTTGCCATCAGTCCACAAAAACCTCATCTCCCAATTGACATCATTAAAGCCAATCCATACGTCATCATCAGAAGCCAGCATTAGAGTAGTAAGGAATGCTGCAAACAGAATCAAAAGGTCATATTTTAATAATTTTGTTGATTGGCTGGTTTCTTAGCAGAACTGTTTTGTTTTCTGCGTGGAATTTTTCATGCAACAAAAGTTTCAGGTAAACTTACTAACTTTGTGCCTGGTAGGAACATGGTATTATATTAGAGTTCAAGTTTAAAGAGTTACAAATTTACATCGCTTACAGTCATTTAGGTTTACATGCACTTGAGAAAATGGTTTATTGTAAAGTTTTTGTAGAAAGGAGTGTTCTGTATTATTACAGATTAACGGAGAGTGTGAACCCAAGAGGAGTTTATTACAGATGAGAAGAAATACAAAATAAACTAAATGAAAAAATCCTTAACAATAGTAGCCAAGGGTACCGGGACACAGGTAAACTAAGGCGGAGACCAAGGTGGAGCCGAAGGAACAAAGGATTGGGGCAGTCTCAGAGGACCAAGGTGGAGCCGAAGGAACGGAGGACCAAGGTGGAGCCAAAGGAACAAAGGATTGGGGCAGTCTCAGAGGACCAAGGTGGAGCCGAAGCAACAAAGGATTGGGGCAGTCTCAGAGGACCAAGGTGGAGCCGAAGGAACAAAGGATTGGGGCAGTCTCAGAGGACCAAGGTGGAGCCGAAGGAACAAAGGATTGGGGCAGTCTCAGAGGACCAAGGTGGAGCCGAAGGAACAAAGGATTGGGGCAGTCTCAGAGGACCAAGGTGGAGCCGAAGGAACGGAGGACCAAGGTGGAGCCAAAGGAACAAAGCATTGGGGCAGTCTCAGAGGACCAAGGTGGAGCCGAAGGAACAAAGGATTGGGGCAGTCTCAGAGGACCAAGGTGGAGCCGAAGGAACAAAGGATTGGGGCAGTCTCAGAGGACCAAGGTGGAGCCGAAGGAACGGAGGACCAAGGTGGAGCCGAAGGAACAAAGGATTGGGGCAGTCTCAGAGGACCAAGGTGGAGCCGAAGGAACGGAGGACCAAGGTGGAGCCGAAGGAACAAAGGATTGGGGCAGTCTCAGAGGACCAAGGTGGAGCCGAAGGAACAAAGGATTGGGGCAGTCTCAGAGGACCAAGGTGGAGCCGAAGGAACGGAGGACCAAGGTGGAGCCGAAGGAACAAAGGATTGGGGCAGTCTCAGAGGACCAAGGTGGAGCCGAAGGAACGGAGGACCAAGGTGGAGCCAAAGGAACAAAGGATTGGGGCAGTCTCAGAGGACCAAGGTGGAGCCGAAGGAACAAAGGATTGGGGCAGTCTCAGAGGACCAAGGTGGAGCCGAAGGAACAAAGGATTGGGGCAGTCTCAGAGGACCAAGGTAAAGCCGAAGGAACGGAGGACCAGGGCAGGCTCAGAGGACCAAAGTAAATCTGGAGGAACAGAGGACCAAGTCAGGCTTGGAGGACCAAGGTGGAGCCGGAGTAACAAAGGATCGGGGCAGGCTCAGTTCACAGCTGTGATAATGACTGCAGTCAATTCCCCCTTCCCCGAAGGGCTATGTTAATAAATCAAACAATGATTTATGCTAAAAGAATGATTAATTCTCAATGTAGAGTTTGATATACCTATGGTCTCACAGAACATTTACACAAAAACAATCTGTGTAAAGTAACCCATGGGTACTTAACCACACAATAAAGAAAGGAAAAGACAAGAAACGAATTGTCTAACTACTTTTTGGTGTGCAGGTAAATGTGTTAGAAGTGTAATGCTCACCTTGCTCTTCATGACGCCGAATGGACACCAGATTGCCTCCATGTAAAATGCAGTGGTCCCGAGATTTATGCCACGTCATCTTAGCATTAAAATACTTGTAACACTAAAATACAAGTGCTTTGTATTAGAATGTGCAGATTTCATACGGGCCTGTTAATGTAGGCCTTGTTTCACAGACAGTGAAACACTCACTCTGCCCTGAAACATGGTCCATTCCGGAGTACAGCCTCCTGGTGGCACAGTGGAGGGCAACATGGTGGTGTTGACAAAGTCCGAACTTCTCTTACAGATGGAGGGCAACGGCACACCACAGTTGATATCATTCCAGAATCCTTTAAAAAAAACATATTGCTAATACTTTGTGCTGGGAATAGAGCATAATGCAGCTTTATAATCACATAGGTCTTGGTAAAGACATGACATAATATTGTAGATATAAGAACATTGATTTGATCTTATAAGCTTATGTAAAACTATACCCATTTTCAACCTAAATTTTATTCTCAACCACTTTGCTTGTCCATCAATGTACTTTGCCTTTATGACATTATGGACTTGAAAACCTGAAAAGGTTTGTTTTTTTCACATCAAAATGAACTAATCTTTTTTCGAGCCATTTCGTTCATTTCGTTCGTTGAATGAACTAAATGAATCGAAAAAATATTTGTTCATTTTGATGAACGGGTTCGAACAGGAGAGTCACGAACGCGCATCACAGAACAGAGCAAGGTGAGCATTTGAGCTTATAAAACTTAATCTTTGTTATTTATTTATTAAATGAGCGATCGTTTCGCTGGATAAGACCCTTATTCATCGTCTGGTGTCGTTTAATGACATTTGAAGCTGCACTGAAACTCTCTTTTGGACTTTGAACCGTTTGGTACCCAGTGAAGACCATTATATAGAGAAAATCCTGGAATGTTTTCATCAAAAACACTCGAAAAAACATTAATTTCTTTTCGACTGAAGAAAGAAAGACATGGACATCTTGGATGACACGGGGGCGAGTAAATTATCAGCAAAAGGCAAAATGGCAGAACCCTTGAAATGTGTTTAACACTCCCTTGAACACTCTGCAAATCTGCAATGGAGTTGATTTACTACTTAAAAAAAAAGAATTTGTTGGAGAAAATATAAAAACATACACAACCGAAAATCACAACTATACAATAAACAATAACAGTCAGCTTATTGTAGCTACAAGTTGTATGACTTTAAATGTCAAGATAACTCTTTTCTGGGGGAAAATTAAGCGCAATCTGCTGTGACGTCACAATCAAGTAAGTGTTTTTTCGGCTCAGCCATTTTGCTGGTGTCTCCACCCATAGCTTTGTGCTTTTATAGATTATTGGCCTCATAAAAAAATGCAAAACGTTTGAAAATACAAGCGTGTGCTACAATTACGAGCCATTCTAAGGCATTCGATCGTGCTAAGTGTGTTTTTGTGAAACGTGTGTGAAATGAACATAAAGTCTCGCGTAGAAAATGCTTGTAAGCGCTAAGATCCATCGTTATCTGATGAGTTGAATCAACTTTTGAAAAACGATACTGTTATCTTCTCCGTATAAACTGCAAAAACACGCATTTCTGAAAACGGTGACGACATGTGCATGTGTTTGTTTACAGGGTGACATCGCCATCTACTGGCCTGGCAGCAGAATACAGTGTTTTTAGTCGTTTTCGAGGGTTAGCGTGATAATTTTGACAAAGCTGTCGACTGTACGAGAAAAAGCTTTTTAGTGCATTGTTGTCATGTAAACACACCCTAAACGTGCAGCGCAGGGGTTACTCTGAGACCAGGGTCGTGAACCACAGCACAGTGACATCTAGTGGTCAAAAGACATGGAAAATATGAAACATCTAACCAAGGTCTTGTGGCTTAATAGAAACTTCCAGGCAGTGGATTTGAGGCCAGTTGGTGTTAAACTGGCTGCTTTATACATGGGAACAGTACTGATGAGGAGTCTTACCCATACTCTTGTAAATGGACACACAGTTCTCATCATTATTGGCAAAATTAGGTTCATTTTGATCCCATGCTGTATATACAACGGGTGAACCGTCCATCCAGCTATTAATAGAAAAGAAAAGAAATACGATTATAAAACCAGCACAAATGTACTTAAATAAATGCCTGTTGAATAATAACTAATTTATGTATCCAGCTCTTTCAATCTCACCTAAATGATTTGTCCAACTCCACCCTCATCCCGATGAAGTATTGATTCTCTGACTTCCTGGATATCTGTAAAACATTGTCAGTCGTCCCACTGAATGATCCTGCCGTAATGTCACAGCATTAATGGGAATCGCAGTCATTACCTGCTTCCATAAAAACTTCCTCTCCGGTTGACCAGTAATGACAACCAGATCGGCGTGATTCCTCTTGCAGAAGGAGCGCGCCTCTTCCATGGGCAGGAGCTCCTCGTTAATGAAGTACTGACTCCCGTTGCACTGGATCCAGCCATCAGATGTCACGTTATATTCCACTGTGGAGTAAAAACAACACAACTGACAATGTTTACAACCTGATCCACAATTAAAGCTTTATTCCATGAAATGACAGGAGATACTGAACAGGAGCTGTCAATTGACTGCAAATGTGTTCTGAAATGTTATATTTAAATATGCAACTGAGGCATTATCTCAGTATATCTCATATATAATTAAATATGTATAATATGTGAGTGATGCTGAAGTGAAGAAAAAAGAGATGAGTGCTAATGAATTATGATTATGAAGTAGTTCCTAACCTTGGCTTGCAGAAGTTGGTGGAGGTTTTGGAGTTGTGCCTATTGGACGAACAGTAAAAAAGCATTATTGTTACGTGTATGAGCATGTTGTATGGGACTAGTTTCATCAGAATTTAAATCAAAACAGTATTTAGTTACATTAGTTTCTGAGCATTGTTGGGGCGAATTAACCCTAACTCTAACCTCACATGAAGAACCAAGAAACACATCAGTACATCAGTGGCAGCTTAGTCTGCATTTACACTCTAATATTTAATACACAGATGTATTTGACATAAATATCAGATCCATGCATGTGTACCTATTGGTATCTGGCAAACCCAGTTTTTAAAGGAATCGCAGTCCGCATCGTTCCACCAGCGCCGGAAGTTAGGGCCAGTCTCGGCACAGTGCTCCTGGTTGTTGTAGTTGTTGGGTTCTCCATACCCCCAGTTCTCAAAATCAGACTGAAAAGAAATGCAAACACACATTCACATAGTAGATAGTTGTTGGTATGATAAAGTGGACAATTATTTGTTTTAACGAGAAGCTGTGAGATCAATGAGACATGTGAAATAATTCCAACTCAAATCCATAGATGTCTGGATGTCGATTTAGTCAGTGAGTAGTCATGTAATAAGCTAGCCTAATGCCAGCCCCGCCCATACTAGCTGAGTTTAGCTCCGCCCACAATATCTGAGCTCAGCCCCGCCCATACCAGCTGAGTTTAGCCCCACCCACAATATCTGAGCTCAGCCCCACCTATGAGTTTGGCCCCGCCCACAATATCTGAGCTCAGCCCCACCCATACCAGCTGAGTTTAGCCCCGCCCACAATATCTGACCTTAGCCCCACCCACAATATCTGAGCTCAGCCCACCCTCACCAGCTGAGTTTAGCCCCGCCCACAATATCTGAGCTCAGCCCCACCTATACCAGCTGAGTTTAGCCCTGCCCACAATATCTGAGCTCAGCCCCACCCATACCAGCTGAGTTTAGCTCCGCCCACAATATCTAACCTTAGCCCCGCCCACAAAATCTGAGCTCAGCCCCACCCATACCAGCTGAGTTTAGCCCCGCCCACAATATCTGAGCTCAGCCCCACCCATACCAGCTGAGTTTAGCCCCGCCCACAATATCTGAGCTCAGCCCCACCCATACCAGCTGAGTTTAGCCCCGCCCACAATATCTGAGCTCAGCCCCACCCATACCAGCTGAGTTTAGCCCCGCCCACAATATCTGAGCTCAGCCCCACCCATACCAGCTGAGTTTAGCTCCGCCCACAATATCTGAGCTCAGCCCCACCCATACCAGCTGAGTTTAGCCCCGCCCACAATATCTGAGCTCAGCCCCACCCATACCAGCTGAGTTTAGCTCCGCCCACAATATCTGAGGACGGGAAGTTCGGTCTGGACTTGACCCGTTGTGAAGCAAGTATGCCCGAACCAAAGCTGTTCGGACCAATCACATCGTCAGGGCGGGCTTTATACGATGATTGACAGATGATCAAATGTGATGTAATCATTGCGTCACCAAAGAGCGCTTGGGTTGAATTCATTTACAACAAAGATGGCTGCCGCTAGAGAACTGGGAAGTGTAGATTCAGCGACCCAATTGAGTGACATTTTGTCTCCTGGTTCTGTTAAAACGCCCCATCATCAGAGCCGGTGGAGCAGCATCAGACTCCCTAAAGTCTGAGACTAGAGTCTGAGTACCACGACGTCAGGCTAGTAATAAGCCGGATGTTTTCTGTGTTAATCTGACAATATATTCTACCGTTCAGTGTGTGTGACGTTGCATGGTTTTAAGCAATAATCCGAATAAACCTTGGGTTCTTTGGACCTTAGAGAAAGGTCCAGTTAATGCTTCAAGCCTTTCCTCCACCGTTTCAATCGCATATAATATATTAGACTGTGTAGATTACATTGACTTTAAAGGGACACCAGGCAGGAATCGTCCGTGTGAAGAACACCGTATCCGGGTTGGGGGGGGGGGGGCGAGACGGTCACCATTCAACCCAAAAGAGGTCACATAACCATTTCAATAACTCAATATAATGAGAAACACTCACAGGAGTCCCATCCGACCACTCAAACCCAGAGCCAGTGTTCAGCATACTGAAGCCTATCCACGCCGGGGCTGAGGTCGAAAACCTGCAGAACACACACTTTACCACCAGACACACTCTTCCCAACACAACCATCATGCTTTACTGACACACACAGAGAGTGACAACAGAATAAAATCCTCACAATAATTTGTTGAGTTCTAGTATAGAGTGAAAGCTCGCCAAGTCACCACCGATAGCTTGACAGAAACTGCGAGCGTCCGACCAAGTCTTTTTCTCATCCTCCGGCTTCTGGAATACCTGAGGCGGAGAAATGAACAACAGAGATTTATTTCATATGGCTTTCCATGGACAGACATTTGCAGTTATTATAGTCATAAAAAGACTGCAGATGATGCGACAACATTGAGTTTAAAAGGAACGCTGATGTTCTTATTTCGGTTTCAACGATAAGCTTTTAGAAACGAGATCTCTGAAACCAGAATGAAGAAAGTGCTGTTGTTGCTGATGTAACGGAGGCCAGCTAGTAGTTGCTGTGCGAGTAGAGGCTGCAGTCTTTAGCCTCCTTGCTAGAGCGTCCGACTCTCACGCCGGAGACCCGGGTTCGAGGCCCGCTCGGAGCGGGGCGAGTAGGACCCGGGTGTGAGGGGTTACATTGGTGCCGTGACCCGGATGAGAGTGAGGTTTAGGGGGGTGAGTGTAACGGAGGCCAGCTAGTAGTTGCTGTGCGAGTAAACCTCACTCCCCGATCTCAACAGACGCTCTAGCGCTAGAGGCTGCAGTCTTTAGCCTCCTTGTAAGAGTGCCTGACTCTCACGCCGGAGACCCGGGTTCGAGGCCCGCTCTGAGCGGGTTGAGTGGGACCCGGGTGTGAGGGGTTACACTGAGACACACACATCATCTCTTAATTGTGCACTTTTAGCATAATGATGACTCTGAGGTCAATGTCCCCTATAGAGGTCCTTGATGACGTTTTTAAAGAGCACGTTATCTGCTTCACATTTACCTGAATGCAACTGCCTGGATCTTTCTTATTCCAGCTCCACGGACAGGCGAGAGGTTGTGTTATCGGTGGCGCTCGTGTAGTTGTAACGCCCTCCGCCATCATTTTACAGATGAACTTCTGTTTACTGTTAATGTCCAGAACATCCCATAATCCCGCGGACGTTCCTGTCAGCATGGCAACACAACCCTGGTGCCTTTCTAGCAGACCGGAGAACAAACACAAGGCGGACTCAGACAATGCAAGCCTCATATCCACATGTCATAGGAGCTAATGATCCACACACCTGGCATGCCCACGTTAAAGTGTGTGAATTTGACCTTATCTCCGTTACTCCACTGGAAGAGCTCCAGGCGTTTGGTGTTACACAAGCCAATCCAGAAATACTTCTCCGGACTGAGACCGACCAGGCTGATGAGAAAAGCGTTCTCGTATCTAAGTGAAGACGAAACAGTGAAATAAAGTGATGCATGTGGAATGAAATATCATAACGAAACATCATGCCACATGGATAGAGCAGATGGGAGAATATGGGTCGTATTTCACTCAAAGGGGAAAATGAAGTCCATAAAGAGATCGAAGCTGGATTTTAAGGAACATTAAGATCATTTGTATTGTTAGATGTTCAGCATTAGTCCAGAGATAATCTATTAAGATAATAATAAATGAACACATGGACGAGGCGAACGCATTCATTAATAACCAATTCTTTTCACTATACAATCATCCACACACCCTGAGTGGTCTTTATATACCCTTTAATTTAGGTTTAGAATATAATATTTAAGGTTTATGTCATGCAACAGACTTTGAGTGACATTTTTGCGCTGGAAAACGAACACTCCTGGAGTATTGTTAAACCTGTCTTGCTGCGGCGCCCAGAGAGCGATTGGGTGTTGGGAGCCTTTCTCAAGGCATTTCATCCGGTATTGAGAATCAAACCTGCAACCTTCGGGATCCCAGTCTGACTCTCTTCCCATGAGGCCACGAGTCACGTCTCGTCTGCATTACCTGTCGGAGACGTCCACCAGCCGAGCCCCCGTCCGCTCGCACTGCAGTCTGGCCTCAGGGAAAGCCTTGCTCTCCGTGGCGATGAGATAGCAGTGAGATCTGTAGCGAACCCATCCCTGTGGACCCAGACACACACAGCCTCCTCATCACTCACACACAACACCACTGGAACATATTTTCCAAATTATTTAACTCTAAAACAGAAGCCAAGTTGTGTAACAAATTTAAGGTCGATATCTCAAAAAAACGAGCAGTACCAAACGCCTCCACTAGATTTACAATGCCCTTATTTTTAACCAGCGTGAGCGAGCGCAAGTGTGACTATGTATTTCAGAACCGCTCTGTCTGATTTTCTCTTTTGTTTGTGAAGTATAAACCCGTCTGGACTCACGGCTTGGCACCCGGGACTGGCGACCTCCACGGCTCCAGCGGGTTTGCTGGTGGACTTCTTCTTGCAGACGTATCCGAGCTCCGTCTCACACATGTGATCTGCCCATCGGCCCTCCTGTTACGGAGACGGAGGAACTCGATAACATACACACATCAGTTTCACATGATCCTCACACTCGCTCTGATCGCTCACAAAGGGTCCGGGGAAAACAATAATGATAAAAAACACACACCTTTCCTTTGATTAGAACACAATCCTCCATGCGATTCATGAGGTGTGACGGTTCTCCAACTATCCACTTGGTGAAGGTGACTTGTGTCCTGTCCGACCACTCAAACAGGTTCTGGACCTTCTGATCGTTGAGTCCAATCCACAGCTCATCGGTCGGCACTACAGAGCACACACTCACAGAGGTCAGTGAAGTAAGCGGATCCGATTATAATCCACCCGTTCTTCCCTCTATTGAAGCTTAGGCTGTGTTAAAGTACCCCTGATGAAACTCATCTTTCATCAATAAAAAGATATATTTAAAAGTTTTTTCCTTCAAATATCTTGACTGTAACTCGACACCCTTGCCTCATTTAGTATTTGCAGTTCTATGAATTTGTGCCTGATTTTGGCCTTTGCTTGTTTGTTAGTCTAGCTTGCTTTTAGTATTTGTTTTGAGTTTTTTGTTTTCTATGTTTGATACATATGAACATTATGTTGTTGACATGTTTTATATATTCTATTTATGTTAAAATAATGTTGACTTCACTATGTCCGAGTGAAGTCAACATTTGTCAGCATTGAGCCGGTAATGTGGGGGCTCGTCCGGGAGAGAATTGTACCCCTTTATGTGTTTGTTTGGTTCTACATGGACGAAGAGACAGCTCATACTTACAGTAGCCAGTCTGAGATATAATGAAGCTGTGCTCCTCGATGTTGTGAACGCTGGCTAAGTCTGCGCCGTCCCTGTGACAGTCCGCTAGCGCGTCGCTCCAGGTCTTCTTGCTGCGCTGCAGACGATAGCAATGGCCGGCGTACGGCACCCACGCCACAGACGGACAGAAGTTAGGCTGGTCTTTGCCTAACACAGGAAAAAACTATTCTCTTAGTGGAAATGATAAAACACATTAGAAAGCTTATGAAACTTTGTCAAGCCACTATAAAAATATATACAAGCCGCTATATTTGTATTGTTTTGTTTTATTTTATTTGATTTGATTGGCTGTGAGTGTGTGTGTGTTTCTGATGCTGTAATTCCATAATTTCCATTTGGGGATTAATAAATAATGGTATGGTATGGTTTCGTATTGTAAACGTATGGTAAACGTATCGTAAACGTATCATTTTTTAATTGTATAGTAAGGTAATGTATCTTACAGTATCGTATCATATCAAATTATATCCTATCGAATCGTATTGTATGGTACCATATGATTTGGTATTGTATGGTATGGTATCGTATTGTATCGTATCGTTTTGTATTGTGTCGTATCGTAATCAAATCGAATCGAGAGGTATGGTATGGTAATCGAACTGAATTGAATCGAATAGTATCGTATCGTATTGTAGTGTGTCATATTGTATGGTTTCGTATGTTATAGTATAATATAGTACCATATCGTGTTGTATGGTATCGTATGTTTTCGTATGGTATAGTATCATATCACATCCTATCGTAGCACAGCATAGCGTTTCATATCGTATTGTACCGTACGGTATGGTATAGAATGGTATAGTATCGTATCATATCGTAGCATAGCATATTGTATCGTAGCGTACTGTACTGCTCCGTATGGTATCATATCGTATGGTATGGTTTCATATAGTATAGTATGGTATCTTACCGTACCATATGGTATAGTACAGTAGAGTGTCGTGTGGTTTCGAATGGTATAGTAACGTATATGTATTGTGTAGTGTCGTACAGTACCTGGTGGAGGTGTGTGGTCTGTGGAATTGCCTTTGCTGCAGATGTAGCCCAGTTTCATACTGCAGGCCATACTCTCCCACTTTGATGCTTTCCCAGCATTCAATGCGGCACAGTTCAGGCCCGGTTCCAGAGACGGGTGCCCTGAAGATTACACAACATTTCATCAATTCCAAAACTCAAATTGGACCTGCTTTACGGGTGCATGAATGGGACATTATTCACCAGGAGCCCAGTTCAGATATCTGAATGGCTGTCCATTACTCCACTGCCAGCCACTGTCAAAGTCAAGACTGTTCAGTCCAATCCACAGTGTGGAGCCAATGACATTCATCAGACCTAAAGGAGAAAGCATACAGTATATTCAAATGGTAATTTATGGATTGTATCATTTTATAATCTTCAAGTTCTGGCAGGACCACTTTGCCAAGTATTGTTGGCGGTATGGTTCTGTTCTGGGCAAACTCATGCAGCCAGTGTTGTAGTACTCGAGACTCGGACTCGGTCTCGAGACCATATTTTAATGGTCTTGGTCTTGTCATGGACTCGTGTGCATTTGGACTCGGAATTGACTCGTACTCGAACATTTTTTTTTTTTAGGACTCGGACTTATTCCCGAGTCCACTCGTGTTCAATTCAAAATCTTTTTCATGATTATTAATGTATGTTAATAAAATATTTCTTTAAATTGATTGACACGCCCAGTGATTGGTGATTTTCTAGTGCGCAACTGCGCATGACAAATTGTAATAAAATTGCTTTTAACACCACCTACTATGTGGCCGTTTTACCCTAAACTGATCATATTTTTTAAACTCTAAGTAAATTCAGTAAAAAATAAAATAAAAAAAGGATTTCTCTAAGTAAATAAAAGTAAATTAGGTAATCAACCCTCACTGGTCTCGATCTCGACTTGGACTCGACCGCCTCTGGTCTCGGACTCGACTCGGACTCGACTCTCTATGGACTCGGACTCGACTCGGACTCAACTCTCTATGGACTCGGTCTTGACTCGGACTCGACTCTCTCTGGTCTCGGACTCGACTCGGACTCGACTCTCTCTGGTCTCGGACTCGACTCTCTCTGGTCTCGGACTCGACTCGGACTCGACTCTCTATGGACTCGGTCTTGACTCGGACTCGACTCTCTCTGGTCTCGGTCTTGACTCGGACTCGACTCTCTCTGGTCTCGGACTCGACTCGGACTCGACTCTCTATGGACTCGGTCTTGACTCGGACTCGACTCTCTCTGGTCTCGGTCTTGACTCGGACTCGACTCTCTCTGGTCTCGGACTCGACTCGGACTCGACTCTCTATGGTCTCGGTCTTGACTCGGACTCGACTCTCTATGGACTCGGTCTTGACTCGGACTCGACTCTCTATGGACTCGGACTCGACTCGGACTCGACTCTCTCTGGTCTCGGACTCGACTCTCTATGGACTCGGACTCGACTCTCTCTGGTCTCGGTCTCGACTCTCTATGGACTCGGTCTTGACTCGGACTCGACTCTCTATGGACTCGGACTCGACTCGGACTCGACTCTCTCTGGTCTCGGACTCGACTCTCTATGGACTCGGACTCGACTCGGACTCGACTCTCTCTGGTCTCGGACTCGACTCTCTATGGACTCGGTCTTGACTCTCTATGGACTCGGTCTTGACTCGGACTCGACTCTCTCTGGTCTCGGTCTCGACTCTCTATGGACTCGGTCTTGACTCGGACTCGACTCTCTCTGGTCTCGGTCTCGACTCTCTATGGACTCGGTCTTGACTCGGACTCGACTCTCTCTGGTCTCGGTCTCGACTCTCTATGGACTCGGTCTTGACTCGGACTCGACTCTCTCTGGTCTCGGTCTCGACTCGGACTCGACTCTCTCTGGTCTCGGACTCGACTCTCTATGGACTCGGACTCGACTCGGACTCGACTCTCTCTGGTCTCGGACTCGACTCTCTATGGACTCGGTCTTGACTCTCTATGGACTCGGTCTTGACTCGGACTCGACTCTCTCTGGTCTCGGTCTCGACTCTCTATGGACTCGGTCTTGACTCGGACTCGACTCTCTCTGGTCTCGGTCTCGACTCTCTATGGACTCGGACTCGACTCGGACTCGACTCTCTCTGGTCTCGGTCTCGACTCTCTATGGACTCGGTCTCGACTCTCTATGGACTCGGTCTTGACTCGGACTCGACTCTCTATGGACTCGGACTCGACTCTCTCTGGTCTCGGTCTCGACTCTCTCTGGTCTCGGTCTTGACTCGGACTCGACTCTCTGGTCTCGGTCTTGACTCGGACTCGACTCTCTGGTCTCGGTCTTGACTCGGACTCGACTCTCTGGTCTCGGTCTTGACTCGGACTCGAGTGAGGTGGTCTCGACTACAACACTGCATGCAGCCCTGCCTGGCCAGAGCGGGGGGAGCAGCAGGTCCAACCCCACATACAGAACAGAACCAGTGAATGCATGCATATTGAAATACTCAATTACAGTGTGTGTGTGTGTGTGTGTGTGTGTGTGTGTGCACCTGATATGTAGCTCTGCTCGTGCAGTTCTGCTATGCTCAGGAGATCGGCCCCTTGCTGCTGACAGCTCGCTCTCGCCTGATGCCAGGTCAGAACCGACTGTGTGTTCCTCTGATACAACACACCTGTCACCGGGTCACTGTCCCACCCGGAGCTGGCTAGAGGAAGACAGAGCTAAAACTTACAGTGGACGATCACAATATCCTCGGGGTGACAACTGATGGGTAGGTTTGGGGGTCGGGTAAGTGTGTGTGTGTTTTATAGGATGTGTTTGTCAGCAGATTAGTTTCCAGTTATCCTGCTTGCATTTTCAAAGGAAAACAGGAAAAAGAAGGAATGTGACGGTGTAGATCAGCAACAGCAGCGTTTCTCTCGTCTTCTCTTCCTTCCTCTCAAGTCCATAGTGGGATAAACTCACAACTGCAGGAATAGCTGTTTTATTCTCAAATACGTGTAAATAAGGCTGGGCGATACAGCTAAACATGGGTATATGTCTTAATATTTTTGCATTTGCTCTAAAAATTTTAAATTTTGCACCCCATGATAAATGCATGATCTGAATAACCGATCCAAACTGCAAAATCAACTCATTTAGACTTTAACGACAACTTGCTAGTCTTTATAGACGTAACTTTTAATATAATCCTAATTTTACGATATTCCATTATTTTATGTAATCCTACTTATGATTATTTATGTCCATGCATGCATTACAATGTCTTAAAAGACCCTTAAAATGTATTATAAAAACATAATTCAAACAAATGCCATGCAATCCAATAGAAAAGCTGCAGTAGTGTGGCTTACATGAGGTTGGACACAAGCCCCACTTCTTGTCGATGCCGTAGTCGGCCTCGGTGGCGCACCACAGCTGTCCGTCCGACCGGCCCTCCACCGTACACTCCGCGTACCACTTCTCTCCAAATTTAAACGGGAACTGGCACGGTTTCCCAAACGAATTGCCAGATAGTGTATATGTCTCTGCAGAACATAAAGAAATGAAGAAAATGGCTTCCGTGTTTGATCAAACGTTTCACATATCACTTCATACAGAGTCATTCATAATATCGGTAACACTTTACAGTTGTCTGCTTTAATTAATCATTAGCTAATGATTTGCAAAGGTATCATGATGTTATGACTTTACTTGATGGGGCACATCATTATTAACTAGTCATTTAGTAATTGCATTAATTTGCACATGAATTTGCACTAACAATGAAGTAATTAATCATGTATTAATGCATATTAGTGTACCTGTCATATTATCTGCAAGTTGAAATACAACGCTTTGGCTCATTCTGGTAATTAACATATTAATTAACAAAATTAGTTAATATCACAATTACATATTTAATTAAAAACAATTAATGTATGAACTAATACATTAACCTTACAGACTCTTAATTAGTTCTTAATGTGGAAATCATTAATGAATGGCTTAGATAATCATTAGTTGTATATTAACTCATGATAATCTGTGCATTAGTTAAGCTGCACCCGTATTGTAAAGCGTTACCATAATATCAATATTGGTAACACTTTACAATAAGGTTCATTAGTTAACATGAGCTAAGGATGAACAATACTTCTACGGCATTTATTAATCTTAGTTCATATAAATTTCAGCATTTACTAATACGTTATTAAAATCAAAGGTTGTATTTGTTAACGTTAGTTAATGCACAGTGAACTAACATGAACAGCTGTATTTTTATTAACTAATATTAACAAAGATTTATAAATACTGTAATAAATGTATTGCTCATTGTTATGTTACATTAACTAATGTTAACTAATGAACCTTTTTGTAAAGTGTTATTGAAAACTTTGATGTGAATCGTTTTTTGTTTTTGTTTTTAAGGTTTTAATGGACTTTTGCTCATACCTTTATATCCACGAGAGCACAGATCTTCCTTGGTCCCATAAACCTGCCAGTGACTCCAAGAGCCTGATCCCTTGTACAGCATTACGCTCTTCTCGTTGCGGTTGCCGTAGTTGAGGTGCAGCGGCTGCCCCTTCAGGCCAAACAAGGTCTCGTTCTTACACTCCCACACCTGCAGGGGACTGAGCTCTTTACAGGGCAGAAGCAGAATCTTGACCCAGTCTTTAACGTCCTGAGTCCCCAAGCAGAGTTTGAAGGAGAGGCTGATAATCCGAGAAGAGGAAATCCACCGGAAGCGCTGAGCCTCGGACGACACGTCGCACTCGGCCACCTGTACGGCAGTGGAGCTCACGGCGGTCACGCATCTGTTGTGGTCCGCGTTGTAGATGAGGAACGAGCTGGTGTCTGAATGCAGGAAAGTTAGATCAGGGAAAGACTGTTGAATACACAATTCAGATCAGGAACACTTATTTGGTGCTACTTCATTCATTAACCCTCAGGTGCTCTTCGTTTCGGAGTCACACTTGTTATCTTCCTGGTCAAAAGTGACCGGACACCTAAAAATGAAACTTTCTTCATCCCAGTAAAACCAATGCAATTTATTTTTGTTCTATATTTATTCTTTCTAATTTGGTATTTTGAGACAATTTAATTTCTTAATATTTATGCAATATTTATGGTTTATTTTTGCCATGGAAAAAAAAAAAATATATATATATATATTATTTTTTTCTAAAAAATATTAATGCAGTATTTTAGTTTAATATAGAGCCTTCAGAAAAAAAAATTAGCACCATCTGGTTACAGTATAGAGAAAAAGCGTAGCATCATGGTGTAACCACTAGATGGCATGTACAGCTCTCTATGGAGAAGCATGTGAATTCCCCAGCTGTTTATGAACACTTTTTTTTTTTTTTTTTTTTGGTGGATTTGTATATATAGTTGAAACAATCTCAAAAACTATTTCTTATAAAAAAAAAATTGACAAAAAACAAAAATTCACTTTTTTCTTTTCTTTTTTTTTATAATTTCCCATTCATTTCCTATGGGGCTCATTTTTGACCGAAGAGCACAAGTGTGACTATTTTTTTAAGACCACTTAGCATGCTCAGATCATGACCTCAATTTTTTTGTGTGTTCACATACATAATGCCATAAAAGTCACCAAGTTTCGTAACATTGCGATGAAGCTGTGATTTTTAAAAATTCAAAACATACTTTTTGTAATCAAAATTTATTGGTGTGTATGTGTATAAAAGTGTGTTTGTATGTGTGTGTGTGTTGGTGGGTGTGTCTGTTTTGCACTCTAGATGTTGTAGAGTGTCACCCCTTTCCTGCGGTGTACTTTTTTTTAGAATTGTGGCCGATTTGTCGATTGTACATACAAAAATTCAGAGAATTTTTTTTGGTCAATTTCCCATTCATTTCCTATGGGTCAGTCATTTTTGACAGAAGAGCAAAAGAGTGACTCATTTTTTACAACCACTTAAATTGCTCGAATCATGACCCCAATTTTTTTCTGTGTTCACAAACCCTAATGCCATAAAAGTCACCAAGTTTCGTAATTTTCTGAAAAAGCTGTGATTTTTAAAATTTCAAAACAGAAAATTTTTCAGTCAGAAGTGACCGAAGAGCACCTGAGGGTTAAGTCATTTATATTTGTATTATTATATTTATATTTTATTAGATTATATTTGAGTAATATTTTAATAATATTATTATATTTATATTTTATTAGATTATATTTTAGGGACCATCACGTTTCCATTAAAGATGTGTGCAAAACTTTCACATTATTTTCTAAATGTCGATAAAAACTATTGCGAAATGAAGGAGTTTCAAATAACCGATTTTATGCAACTTAAACATCATTTTCCTTCTGCGACGGATCATTAAAAAAATCCTGGCAACGAATGTTATATGTTTAAGTATATCGCAGCCACTCTATACCCATTCATTTAAATCGAAGACGTAGGCGTGTTATCCAAGACACAGGTGAACAAAATAAGGGAATGGCAGAGGAACAAGAAACCTTAAATAGTGTGTTGCAGTTTAGTCCACTATTACAGCAGGAATTAATGAAATAATGAGAGCCAATTCAGATGCTGACATACACCATACATCGAAGAGGTATTATTGATGCCGTTATTATCAGAAATATTACCTTTGAATGTGTGGATAACAGTCTTCAAATCACGAAAAATAAGAAAAAGTTTGCTAAAATGTTTACTTTAATTCAGGATGGATCAAAGATAACCCCAGGTTTTTGACATGGGTACAAATGTTAGCTTGAAGAAGACCAAAATAAGAGCTGATATTGTCTAATAGCCCAAAAGAATAATCATTTCTCATTTTGGTGCAGAAAATTTTCATCCATCCAATCTTTAATGTCCTTTAAACATGTTACCAAGGCAAGGAAGACACATAATTTATACCAGATAACAGAAGATAAAGCTGGAGATCATCTTTATATATAAGATAAGATACCTCAGGATACTCTAATAGGGAACGGGAGCATATATACGGGGAATAAGACCAGACCCAGAACCGAGCCCTGGGGCACCTCACAGAGTAATTCAACAAATTACACCAAAAAACATACATGAATTAGTGAAAGATGAAACCCAGTATAGTGTCGGATCACAGAACACCTCATGACGTAATCTACTTCGGATCCACGGCATCGGAGGCTGCACTTAAATCCAGCAATACAAGCACGGCACAGTCATCAGTCCACAGATAGGACTTTACTATTCTTAAAACGGCAGACTCGTTCAGCTCTTTTCTCCGCTCTCTAATCTCTCTTTGCATTAGATTTTGATACTTTTGATACAAAATAAAATACTCCAAATAAAAGTGCACTGTGGGTAATAAGGAGAGGATGCACTCTCAGAAAAAAAGGTACAAAAGCTGTCACTGGGGCTGTACCTTTTCAAAAGGTACACTTTTGTCCATTTTAGGTGCCAATATGTACATTTTAGGTGTTAATATGTCAATTTTAGGTGGTAATATGTACATTTCAGGTGCTAATATGTACATTTTAGGTGTTAATATGTCAATTTTAGGTGGTAATATGTACATTTTAGTTGCTAATATGTCCATTTCATGAGCTAATATGTACATTTCATGTGCTAATATGTACATATGTAAATTTTGGGTGTTAATATGTACATTTTAGGTGCTAATAATTCCATTTCATGAGCTAATATGTACATTTTAGGTGCTAATATGTACCACTAAGGTAGCCTTTGGGTACAAAAGTGTACCTTTTGAAAAGGTACAGCCCCAGTGACAGCTTTTGTACCTTTTTTTCTGAGAGTGTGGAAATCAGACACCAATGTATCTCTCTATCCTTGAAAACTGAATTTAACACAAGAATACAGAGTTTCATATGATTCGGGTTCAAGGACGTACACGGTGTCTACATCAGGGCCTCGACAGCTTGAGATAGACCTGAATCTGCAGAAGTATTATATATACGCACAAAATGGCATGAAATATTTAACGGAAAAAAAGTCACTCGAACTCGAATCATGTGAACTCAAAATTTCCCAACACCATTAAATTACTTTCTATCCTCATGCATGCCAAATTTTTATATTCTAGGGAAATTTTTCATAAACATCTACAAAAAAAGTTCACATTCATAATGAGATTAAGCAAATGCAAACTTGGTTGTGAATAGCATGTGAAGTTGTGAACAATGTAATTTGATTATTTTATTGGTGGAAGTCTATGACATTCCCATAATAAACATTAAGTGGGTGACGTACCTGTTTGAGTTGAAGGTTGTAAAGCAACTAATAAGGCGAGCAACACAACCATTGGAGTGGCACATTTCTTCATGTTTGTCCTTTAATCCAAGCATGGAAAACCCAGTGTGTGTTTGAAGTGTGTGAGACTTATATACACCTTTCTCTGAGTTAAATGATAGTATCCTGTCATGCGGTGGGGGGTGTAGGTTTGGGTGTCTGGGGGGATGAGCCACTATCTGATCTTTATCCTGCGTTTTTCAGCTGTAACTGCAACAATGCTGGACTTGATTGACGTTAATATGTGTGTGTGTGTGTGTGTGTGTGTGTGTGTGTCGAGAAGCTTGAGTAAGGAGGTGAACAGTGTTTCGTTTCTTCATGGACAGGGAGAAGTGTCCTCTGGAAGTCTCTAATGAGCTGATTTGTCTTCACCCTGAATTTAATGGGGTGGCCTGGACAAACCTGACATGAGCACAAGTCATGATGCCAAGCATTGTTACACAAAGTGTTTGGCTGATCTGTGAGCCATTCCAGTTAGCTTAAAGAATTGTGCAATTAATTGTTGAAGTGCAAAGGTTGCCTATTTGTTTTTCTCTGAAATGTGAAAAAATGCTGATTTGGTCGGATGGAAAACACAATGGCAATACTGGAGAAAATGAAGCTCAGCAAGAAGGAAACGAGAGTTACGAGCTTCAGAGGTCTGAAATTTGGGCATTGGGAAATCCTGTTTCCTGCCGAGTGTGTAAGGAACCGAGTCCGATGAAGACCAGTGCCTGAAATGGCACAACACACATCAGAAAGAAGGAAATAAAAGACAAGGTGGAAAAATACAACTAACATGACATGTGAGAGTGGCACATACTTAAACTACGGACACTTTTGGAGGATTATGAAAAATCTTAATGCACACTCTCATTAGCTGATTTAATTTGCCCAACAGTGTTCAACATGGGAGAATTCAGTAAATTGGAATAAAATGGATGACTGCTTTATCTTACTAAGGAGACATTTCAAAGTTTATACTACATGCACACAAAAAAATGTAAACATTAAATAATGTTTCAAATTATCTGGAATTTTTTGTTCACAACATTTCTGTTTATTTTTTTATTTTTTTCATGGACTTTTAGTTTGTATTCATCTGTCGCCTGTTTCCTTTGTCCACTCATACGCCTTATTCACGGCAGCGCCATCTTTGATTGTTAATGAGAATGAAAGCGAGGCTGTGAGGGATAGACTTGCATCTCTTCAATGGGCTGCTGTACTGTTATTTAATGTGTTTTCGGATTGTTCTGCTCATGAAACACTGGAAAAATATCTTTCCAAGAAATGTCAGTTGACTAAAAACTCCCGATAATGTAGCCTAAGCTGTGGAAAATTTTAAATAATCTAGCCGTTTTATTCAGCTTTTTACAGCGGATGCCATTGGAAACACGGTGAGTCTATCCCTCACAGCCGCACTTTCATACCTGTCATGGCGCTGCTCTGAATCCCAATTCGCTTACTCTTTTTGTGAGGAAAAAGTACATACTTTTGAGTGTGTAGCAAAAGAGTAGGCAAGCTTTGGGACATACTATCACGTCATCTTTAACGGACAGCTCTGTCGCGTGCTGCGTGCATCCATCCTGTCACCGTAAACTGCCCTGTCAATCATCTTGTCACAGTTAAAATCCTCCATTCAATCAAATTTTATTTCCTACCGTTTCGGAGAGCAGGTTCATCTGCCAGTTGTGGGTCTTTCACGCTCTCCTCGTGTGTTTGCAATTTAAAACGTAATAGCTAAACGTGTCTTTACAAAAGTTCACAATGCTGCTGCAAATGCAATATAATGTGGACAACATTGAATAAATTCATTTTCGTCAGGTTAGATACTGATAATTAATCACTCAAAGCTCTTTATCTAAACCTCTCTACACAACCGCGGGGACTCGCGCGTCCTCCGTATCGACTACGTGTCTGTAGTTTTTTTTAACACTTTTTACAAGTGTTTGTAGTTCTCTAACCGAATCCTCGTCCACCGCGCAATGGTTTGTGGGCAATATCAGCCGTTAGAGTGTGCATCGATCTACACTTCGGATTCTGACCGGAAAAAGTAGACCATCTGGGTATCTTTAAAACACTCATTTCAACATACTACGATTTGGGACGTACTAATTCTATTTTCGAATACTATTTAGGACGGATAGTATGCGAATTGGGACGCATGAAATCTCATTGATCATCACAGCTGTTAGTCATTATGTTCTCATCACTGTGTATTTAGTTCCTCATCTCCGCTCGTTCAGTAGTCCGGTATTGTTTGTGCTTGCACACATTTTTGGTTGCTTTCTCTTTGAGTTGGATTACCGAAATATGCTTTATTATATAAACAACACTTTTACTTTGATATTCTTCATTGGACGAAACGTGACACATTTTATCCTTGTTTTCTTAGTTTTCCTCCCAAATCACTGTTGTCTCAAACACTACACAAACATTAGGAAAACAACCTTTATTAGAAGCAAAATTGTTCAATGACGTGGAAATTATGCCACAACAGTGAGTGTTGTAAAAAAGTGCAATTTTAAAAATTGTTTTTGCACAATAAATATTGCAACGGGTCATGTTTCTAAACTTTTTGTTTGAACATGTAGTATGTGAATTTTCATAGATGAATATTAAAAGTCTGGATCTGGTACAAAAGTAAACAATATTTATACGGAAAATGCATTTGAAAAGTAGCAAAAATAAATGTTAATTGCATTATAAAAAAGTTTCCAAGACAGATTCATTGTAAACTCCATATAACAAAAATTAATGTTAAAAAAAAAACTACTGGGGCATGAAAGTACCTGAAGTAAAAGCAACCAGAACTGTCTTCCATAACCACCAAAAATGTAGTTTTCCATTCCAAAGAAATGTTTCCATTGTCCACTTTCCCCCACACAAAGACTATTTGGAAATAAGTCAATGCTGTCTGAGGATTGCTGGGTCATGCAATGTATTGTAATATAATGGAGCCACTGGTATTGCTATGGTACTATTTTGGCGTCCCTTAAATTTCTCTTATGTCTTTCTCTAATATTTAAGATATGTAAATGTAAACCTGTGTAACTTTTAACATTTATATGTAGTTTTTATTTCTGCACCACTATAATAAACGGCGAAAATAATGTTATATCCAGCCGTATTCAGATGAGTTATTTCCCATTAAAACATCCTCTCAGTGTTGAAGATCCGCAGTTTGGTCATGAAGTTGAAGTAAATGTAGGCCAGACAGACCAGTATATTCTTGATCACATACAGCACTGGTGTTACAAAACCAAAAAGGCCGATGAGTGCCAACCTCAAGACGAGGAAGGGCAGGTCCTGGAAGAGCACGGCCAGAGGCGAGAGCAGGGGACTGTGGGGAGTGATGACCAACCGCACCGTGGAGAGGAAGCAGAAGAGGTAAACCGGAAAAGCCCAGCCGGAGAAATACACAGCAGTGTGTCCTGCCACCCGAACCATCTCCACCGTATCCAACCAGAACAAGAAGCTGTCGCCGAAGACTTCAGCTCGACTGTCGCTGGCCTGTAGGAAGCTCAGAGGTCCGGGGTATGGAGAGGCGATGGTTTGGAAGTGAACACCAGGATTTGGACCACTGCCAATCTGCTGTCCGGTGCTGCCCGGTCCTCCATTCCCAGGCACCGGAACGGCTGTGTTGGCGAGATGGGCTGGAACGGCTCCGTTGTTTGGCAGGCCCGGAGCGGCTGACCCGTTGGGCCCGGCGGGGGGTCCTCGCACTGACCCGTTCGCCGCCCCGCCACTGAGATCTGCGGCAGCACTGCCGGCCGGCGCAGGAGGGACCACCGGAGTCACGTTTCCAATGTGTGTCTGCAGGGTCGGGATGTCGGCGTCTCGAGCCAGTTCGTTAGCTGTGTGCACACACACAAACACACACAAACACACACAAACACATAAAGAATAAAGAAATGATCCTTTCAGAGTTCAGATGATTATTAACTCTCATTAATTACTCTTCCTCGTGTCGTTCTAAACATGGTAAGACTTCCGTTCATCTTCGGAAGACAAATGAAGATCTTTTTGATGAAATCTAAGATATTTGTGTCCCTCCATTGACCTTCTATGCAACTGACCATTTGACTCTTTAAAGGAGTAGTTCACTTTAAACAAAAACTTTTGCTGATAATTTACTCGCCCCCGTGTCATCCAAGATGTCCATGTCTTTCTTTCTTCAGTCGAAAAGAAATTAAGGTTTTTGATGAAAACATTCCAGGATTTTCTCCATATAATGGACTTCAATGGGAACCAAACAGTTCAAGGACCAAAATAGAGTTTCAGTGCAAACTGTTCAAAGGGCTTTAAACGACTCCAGACGATGAATAAGGGTCTTATCAAGCGAAACGATCAGCCATTTAATAAATAACAAAGTTTAACTTTTATGAGCTCAAATGCTCGCCTTGCTCTGTTCTGTGGTGCACGTTCGTGACTCTCCTGTTCGAACTCGTTCAACAAAATGAACGAATCTTTTTCCGAGTCAATTCGTTCGTTTCGTTCATTGAATAAACCAAATGACTCAGAAAAAGATTTGTTCATTTTGATGAACGAGTTCGAACAGGAGAGACACACAGAACAGAGCAAGGCGAGCGTTTGAGCTTATAAAAGTTAAACTTTGTTATTTATTTATTAAACGAGCGATCGTTTCGCTTGATAAGACCCTTATTCATCGTCTGGAATCGTTTAAAGTCCTTTGAACAGTTTACACTGAGACCTTGAACCGTTTGGTCCCCATTGAAGTCCATTATATGGAGAAAATCCTGGAATGTTTTCATCAAAAACCTTCATTTCTTTTCGACTGAAGAAAGAAAGACATGGACATCTTGCATGTAATTTATCAGCAAAAGTTTTTTCAAAAGTGAACTACTCCTTTAAAAGGTTCATAAAGATATTGTAAAACTAATCCTAATGAATTGAGCCGAACACTTTTAAAAACTAAAGCATGTTTGCTTGACGTGCGAAAACCAAAGAGCTTCGTTCTAATGTTACGCAGCACTGAACCGTTGAGGATTCGTTATTGATTCGTTTTTCAATCTCTTTATGAACTTTTTGAAGTGATAAAGTGATGTTTGTGTGGACTGTCAATCGAGGGACAGAAATCTCTCATATTTCATCAAAAAGGTCTTCATTTGTGTTTAGAAGATGAACACCTGAACCGGACGATTCGAATGTTGAGCAAGCAATCTCATTGGCTGCAGGATCAGCGGGGGCCAATCAGCTTGCGCCATGCTGTATAATGTGAAGGAAAACTTTTTGTGTGTGTAAATGTAATTCAGTTTTAATTGCACCTGAGTAAAGTACAAATCTTTTAATATAATACATAAGTCTAACCAAGTAAAAATACATATACATCCCCACCAATGTTACACCCTTGAGTCCAGAGTTTGGTTTAATCATTATATTATAATGATCATTATGATCATGTACACTTTGTTAAACAGTTCTTCTAAACAAATGACTATTTCTCTACTTGTTAATATCAATATTTAATAGGCCTATACCTTCCCTGTCTCATTCTCATATAATCTCTGTGTTTGGCTTTGAATCTTTTCCTGTGTGGACTAGAATTTCCTGAGCTCATATTAACCCCCAAAAGATGCTGATTTCCTGTTATATTGTGATTTTATATCAGCAGAAACCCGGAGGCTTTACTTCTCGCACTTTATTCAGCTGCTCTTCTTCTCTATAGTCCCCCCTGCTGGACACAATCAGTACCTGCAGAGCAAAGTCCCCTGAGGTGAAGATCCAGCGTTTAATGTTGTTTATGTGTGTGTGTGGTGTGTTTAATCCGCTTTAACACACACCGTGTGTAAGTTGATAAGTGGACAGCATTGCTGAGTATTTCCTCCTTAAAACTGCAGTGAACCAAAAACACGCTTTGAAATCGCTGACGTCACACACAGATCAACAAGTGATCGACAACCAGTGGATCTCTGAGTGAGGGAGTGGAGGCGGGGCTCATCTGCATATTCATAGAACCACCGCGCATACTAAATGAGGCAATGGTGTCGAGGTATTTTAAGACATGAGGGTATGTTTTTAAGGAAAAAGTGATACAAATATTGACTACAGGGGGACTTTAAAGGGATAGTTGATCGACAAAAAAGATTTATCAATTATTAACCATGAAAGCATAAGAAAAACTACAAAACACACCACAGGAACAGTTACTGAAGCACATATAGTAAAAACTCTTTTAAAAGCATTATAAAACCCCTATGCTTCATCATCCCCAGCCGTCTGAGGCCGTACGAGAGCGTTGTGGATCTGGGCTGCTGTAGACGAGACTCACCTCGACCCGTCAGTCGGCAGTATCGGATCCTCTCCACGATATCGATGCAGATCAGCGACAGGAGCACCAAAGACACGGGCAGCTCAGCAAACGTGTCCAACCGCAGATCATTCCTAATCTGGACCTTAAAGACAGTAAAACAGAGAGATGTTTGCACACCAGGATCATGGATTATGCCTTGGATAATCTGAATAGAGAATGTCAGAAATGTGAGTTTAAATGCAAAATGCATCCGCTTGAAATAAACATTAGAGTAAATCTGAAGACATCGTGCATATAATCTGGAGACCATGAAGGATAACATTTTCTGTGAATAGTCAACCAAGATTTTACCTCAGAGCTGGCGATGAGGAAGGCGAAACAGGGCAGTGTTGAGAGAACCACATAGGCCAACGCAACAGGTCTCCTGAAAGCAGAAAACCGTCAATATCCCCTGATTTCATATTGAGATTTGATCAAATAACAGTTATGAGTGACATAATGCATTACATTACACCCCAATGCTATTTCTGCACAGCGGCATTGTGTTAAAGTCCCCTTGTAGTCAATCAAACCCTTTAAAGGGAAAGTTCACTTTGAAATTAATTTTTGATATGTTTTATCTTACCTCAAGGACATCCAAGATGTAGGTGTCTTTGTTTCCGCTGTAGTTTCATTGATATTTTTAGGTCAAACCGTTCTTGTCTGTCAAGTCTATGGTCACCACCTCAAAGAGCAGCACAGAGAAGTCCAGATTAAATGACTCATGTAAGTACACATTGATGGCCTAAGACATGAAACGAGCGGTTTGTGTGAGAAAACGAACAGTATTTATATCGTTTTTACCTCGTGTAATCACAGCCACAGAGCGTCAGATCAGTTGGACGTGGCTGTGGTTACACAAGGTAAAAACGATATAAATACTGTTCGTTTTCTCACACAAACCGCTCGTTTCGTGTCTTAGGCCATCAATGTGTACTTACATTTACTAGTCATTAAATCATGTTTAATTTTGACTTCTCTGTGCTGCTTTTTGAGGTGGTGACCATAGACCTGCATTATATGACTGATAGACACGAACGGTTTGACCTAAATATGTCAAAATTGAAAATGCTGTGGAAACAAAAACACCTACATCTTGGATGCCCTTGAGGTAAGATAAAACACATCAAAAATTAATTTCAAAGTGAACTATCCCATTAAAACTCATCTTTGATCACCAAAATTACATATTTCAATGTTTTTTTTTCTATGAATATGCAAATGAGCCCCGCCTCCACTCACTCACTCAGAGATCCACTGGTTGGCGATCACACGTTGATCTGATTGGTTACAAGGTGGTTTATGAAACACCAGCGATTTCAAAGCGTGTCTTTGGTTCACTGCAGTTTTAAGGAGGAAATACTCAGCAATGCTGTCCACTTATCAACGCACACACGGTTTTAAAAAACACCACATAAACAACATTAAACGCTGGATTTTCACCTCAGGGGGACTTTACTTTAATACTATATGGCAATCATTCAGCACCAATGGCATTATCATATTCATAACATGGTTGTCCACTGCACTTCAAATAATACAATATTACAGTAGCAAATCTGTAAAATGCGATTTTACCATGATTATTTTTCCAGTTTCTCAGTGAAGCTATTTGTGTGTTGCATGAAACCCATAAGAAAAGCCAGTCGTGTTTTCTCTCACCACTTCTTCCGAGCCACCAGCGCCCTCTTCTTCATGAACACCATGTACTTCATGGGCAGCCAGATCAGCATGGCCACGGACGTCACGTAGGCCACAGACGAGGCCACGATCAGCCAGTACGCGGTGGAGGAGTAGTGCGATCGGCTCTTCACCTTCACTCGAGACACGATCAGGGCGAAGCGTTGCATGATGATGAAGAGAGGAACGCAGAAGCTGGAGAACTGAAGCACCTCACACACAGCGAACTTAATCCGGCTCCCCCGGCCCATGCTGAGGAAGGGATGCGAGGAGAAGAAAGAAGAGAAACAGAAAACACGGAGTTGCTGTCGGCCGGTGGACCCCGAACTGGAGCGTGGGGGGGGGGTATTGTGCCGACGCTCCGGCATGTTCCAACACAGAGCTGAGAGGATCATGCTGACTCTGCACTCACTATTGTGCACTCACACACACTACATCAACACACTACATCCACACACACGAATCAACACACACTCTCGGCCAGAGCTATCTTCAACTAGAGGGAACTGGATAATATTCTGATCCAATCTGACCTCTGACCTGTAATGCCTGAATCACAATCACACACTGTTCGCTCGTTGGCTAGAGCAGAACTGAGACTGGTTTCTCTCAAGCGTTTTCCTCCTTTTCCCACATAAAACATCTGCGAATAATGCTGCGTCCCGTTTACATCCCAAGAGTTCAAGAGGACAAAAGCTGGACGAAAGGGCACATTAGTCTGTGAATAATAAGTACAACAAAATGTCAGGATGTATTCAACTGTACTACTGTGTGTGTGTGTGTGTGTGTGTGTGTGTAACAGGATCAGGATCCCCCTATGTTTGTTGGTGTCTTCAGTTGACATTTTGGACTCAATAACATTAATTTCAGACTCTGCTGAAACACTTGTTCAGAAACATAGATCTTTGGCCTCCCTCTGCTACAAATTACTATAACATTACAGTATATACCGTAAAAACACTAGATTTACGTGTGAAATTTAAAAACTTTAAGATGATAGATACTCTGACAGAGTTCCTCCTCCCTAGTAAAGATTTTTTCCTTCTTATCAATGGAGCTTCATACTTAGGGCTCAAACACTGAAACAACCCTTTCTTAAGGAATATGGAGTAAAGCGTGGGATGCAGTTGAGTAAAGAGTGGGATGCAGTGGAGTAAAGCGTGGGATGCAGTGGAGTAAAGTGTGGGATGCAGTGGAGTAAAGCGTGGGATGCAGTGGAGTAAAGCGTGGGATGCAGTGGAGTAAAGCGTGGGATGCAGTGGTGTAAAGCGTGGGATGCAGTGGAGTAAAGCGTGGGATGCAGTGGTGTAAAGCGTGGGGTGCAGTGGAGTAAAGCGTGGGATGCAGTGGTGTAAAGTGTGGGATGCAGTGGAGTAAAGCATGGGATGCAGTGGAGTAAAGTGTGGGATGCAGTGGAGTAAAGCGTGGGGTGCAGTGGAGTAAAGCGTAGGATGCAGTGGAGTAAAGTGTGGGATGCAGTGGAGTAAAGCATGGGATGCAGTGGTGTAAAGCGTGGGATGCAGTGGAGTAAAGCGTGGGGTGCAGTGGAGTAAAGCGTGGGATGCAGTGGTGTAAAGTGTGGGATGCAGTGGAGTAAAGTGTGGGATGCAGTGGTGTAAAGTGTGGGATGCAGTGGAGTAAAGTGTGGGATGCAGTGGAGTAAAGTGTGGGATGCAGTGGAGTAAAGCATGGGATGCAGTGGTGTAAAGTGTGGGATGCAGTGGAGTAAAGTGTGGGATGCAGTGGTGTAAAGCGTGGGTGCAGTAGAGTAAAGTGTGGGATGCAGTGGTGTAAAGTGTGGGATGCAGTGGAGTAAAGCGTGGGGTGCAGTGGTGTAAAGTGTGGGATGCAGTGGAGTAAAGCGTTGGATGCAGTGGAGTAAAGCATGTGATGCAGTGGAGTAAAGCGTGGGATGCAGTGGTGTAAAGTGTGGGATGCAGCGGTGTAAAGCGTAGGATGCAGTGGTGTAAAGCGTGGGATGCAGTGGTGTAAAGTGTGGGATGCAGTGGAGTAAAGTGTGGGATGCAGTGGAGTAAAGCGTGGGATGCAGTGGTGTAAAGTGTGGGATGCAGTGGTGTAAAGCGTGGGATGCAGTGGTGTAAAGCGTGGGATGCAGTGGTGTAAAGTGTGGGATGCAGTGGAGTAAAGTGTGGGATGCAGTGGTGTAAAGTGTGGGATGCAGTGGTGTAAAGTGTGGGATGCAGTGGAGTAAAGCATGGGATGCAGTGGTGTAAAGCATGGGATGCAGTGGTGTAAAGCGTGGGATGCAGTGGTGTAAAGCGTGGGATGCAGTGGTGTAAAGTGTGGGATGCAGTGGAGTAAAGCATGGGATGCAGTGGTGTAAAGTGTGGGATGCAGTGGAGTAAAGTGTGGGATGCAGTGGTGTAAAGTGTGGGATGCAGTGGAGTAAAGCATGGGATGCAGTGGTGTAAAGTGTGGGATGCAGTGGAGTAAAGTGTGGGATGCAGTGGTGTAAAGTGTGGGATGCAGTGGAGTAAAGCATGGGATGCAGTGGAGTAAAGTGTGGGATGCAGTGGAGTAAAGCATGGGATGCAGTGGTGTAAAGTGTGGGATGCAGTGGAGTAAAGTGTGGGATGCAGTGGTGTAAAGCGTGGGGTGCAGTAGAGTAAAGTGTGGGATGCAGTGGTGTAAAGTGTGGGATGCAGTGGAGTAAAGCATGGGATGCAGTGGTGTAAAGTGTGGGATGCAGTGGAGTAAAGTGTGGGATGCAGTGGTGTAAAGTGTGGGATGCAGTGGAGTAAAGCATGGGATGCAGTGGAGTAAAGTGTGGGATGCAGTGGAGTAAAGTGTGGGATGCAGTGGAGTAAAGTGTGGGATGCAGTAGAGTAAAGTGTGGGATGCAGTAGAGTAAAGTGTGGGATGCAGTGGAGTAAAGCGTAGGATGCAGTGGAGTAAAGTGTAGGATGCAGTGGAGTAAAGTGTGGGATGCAGTGGAGTAAAGTGTGGGATGCAGTGGAGTAAAGTGTGGGATGCAGTAGAGTAAAGTGTGGGATGCAGTGGAGTAAAGCGTGGGATGCAGTTCTTTATATAATAAATACTTGTATTATATATATTTGTATTTATTTATTTTTTGTGGGATGAGATTGTGATAATATGGCCTCATGATATCTCCAGATGTGCATGAGTGACTGAACAGGAGAACCCATCCCCCCTCCCCTCCCCACCCCCTCCCCCAGCTGTGCACGCGCGAGGCTCGTGCGTGTGGTGTCATGGCGTCCGGAGAGGAGGACGGGTCTGTCGAGGAGAAACAAACCAACAACAAGAAGCGGATAAAAGGCACAATCGCCACGGCATGGCTCACCTTCTACAACATCGCCATGACAGCCGGGTAACAGATCAGTCTGAGCTGCTTTACTCGCTCAACACACTCCTGTCTGTCTGAACACACTCCTGTCTGTTAGTTTCGCCGCATTGTAAATCACTCGACTGGTTGTTACTTAAAGCTTTTACTTTTAAAAGTTGTTACTTTTAAATCTCTAAGAGAGACTATTGGGTTACACTGTCATTGTTACAGTGTAATTATACATTTAAGTACTGAGTAATATTAATTAACTACATGTACTTTTCTATAGGGTTAGGGTTTGGTTGAGGTTTAGTTGCATGTAATTATGCGTAATACTGTTATTACTACGGTAAGTACATGTAACATATGTAACACGGACACTGTACAGTTAAGTGTAACCGAGTGTTGCATTAAACCCGCAGTGTGTGTTGTACAGTGGTCAGCTGCTGGTTATACTGGGATATTCCTCTCAGAAACCGAAGCTCAGTGTTTCCTAATACGGATCCGCGCGCGTCACCGCGATATGTTTAGAACTCGCTCGACTGGCGAAATTCAACAAAGAAGAATAAAATGCACGATAATAATCATGAGAGCGTTATTCACTTCATCCCGTGTGAACTCGATTCTGTGAAAAACAACGCGCTTAATTCTATTGGGTAACACTTTACCGTAAGCTTCATTAGTTAATATTATTTAATGTATTAACTAACATGAACTAAGCATGAGCGATACGTGTGTTACAGTATTTATTAATCCGTGTAAATGTTATTTCAAAAATATACAGCTGTTCATTGTTTGTTCATGCTAGTTCACAATGCATTAACTAATGATGCAACCTTTGATTTTAACAACGTATTTATAAATGTTGAAATTAATATTAACTAAGATTAATAAATGCTGAAGCAGTGTTGTTCATTCTCAGTACATAATGAACCTTTTACACGTTACATTACTGTAGCACTAATTATAAATTATGCATAATTACATGCAACCAACCCCTCATCCTAACCCTATGTAATGTAGTTAATTATCATTACTTAGTACTTAATGTATAATTACACTGTAACACGGACTCCTTTAAATAAAGTGTTACCTTGTAATGAATACACTCTAAAAAATGCTGGGTTGTTTTAACCCAATTTTGGGTCAAATATGGACAAACCCGAAATGTTGGGTTAAAAATGTAATGTAAAAATTTAACCCAACGGCTGGGTTAGTCCATATTTGACCCAAAGTTGGGTTAAAACAACCCAGCATTTTTTAGAGTGTAGTGTGTCCTTGTAGTACAATTGTTAAAATATTTTTTGTGAGTAAAAAATGGTATCAATGAACATGTATGCTAGCTAATGAAAATACACGTATTTTCTCATTTATAAAGTTTACTTACTAATGTCAAATTAAATTTTACTCATAAATAATTGTATTTTAATAATTTTTAAAAGTTTGACTAATATACTTAAGCACATGCAACCTGATTATAATTGTAACTATTAATGTAAAATTAATGTATTTTTTAATCACCATTACAAATGAAATGTGCAATAAATAATACATGACATACAAGTTTCAGCTGAAATTACATTAAAGGATCATTCTATGTCAAATCAACCACGGTTAACAACAAAATTCCTGAAGAAAGACGTAAATAAATAGTGATGAAAGCTATGAAGTGAAATGTCATGGATGTATATTTTGGTCAAGGGGTGAAAAGACAATTTTGGGATTTGGAGCCAAATTTCATCGGGGTAAAAATGACTTTAGAGAGAGGACAGCATCATTATGTTATTGTCACACAGAGATTAGTAGGTCTATTAGTCAAATCTGTGGACTTTAGCAATATTTTTTGCATTATATATGCCAACGGTGACCGTTTAAATATGGGAAAAGGCACTTCTTGTGTTTTTTCCCGAGGTTTGCATGCCTGTAAATCAAGAAGTATTAAAGATATCTCAATATCCTTTCAGATTCTGGTTCTTAATAAAGTTTTGTTTTGCTCTCCTCATTTTAAAGGCTCTGTAATGTTCAACGCCAGAGATGTGGAGATCTGAATGTGGCTCCGTGAGGAAATCGGTCAATTGTACACATTTTTAGTGGTCAAAAACCAGATGTAGTTTTCTTTGCACACAGCTGATGCTTTTTTTATTTAAAGGGAAGAATAAATATTGCGGATTGTAGAAATTAAATATTTTAAAAACTATGGAATACAACACACTTCTCTGAGTGCCACAAATACACAGAAACGGTCTGGTTTTTGACCGCTAAAAACGTGTACAATTGACCAATTCCCACATTCTCCACATCTCTGGCGTTGAACATTACTGAGCCTTTAAAATGAAGAGATTTGTTAAATGATTTGCTCCCTCTCTTTAATATAGTTTGATATTTTATGACTCGTAACCGTCTGCATGCAAGTGTGGCTGAAGTGATTAAATACTTTGTACTCTGAATCTTTAGTTAAATATCTATTATTTGTCTTAGAAAACAAGACAAGCCCTTATATAGTGCTCTTTTTCCTTTGTCATTTCCAAAATCATAGTGGAGAATATCTAGTGCAGTCCCACAATGCATTGCGACGAGAAGTTGTGCTCTCAACAACTATATAATTCCCATAATGCACTGTGAGTGTTGCGTTTGGTGACTAGTTGAGTTTGCCGGTTAACTGAGTGTGTGTGTGTGTGTGTGTGTGTGTGTGTGTGTGATTGCAGGTGGCTTGTGTTGGCTGTTTCCATGGTCCGCTTTTACCTTCAGAAAGGAACCCATAAAGGCTTGTACAAACATATAGCAAGGACACTAAAATGTTTCCAGACATTTGCACTATTGGAGGTAAGATCAAATGCCTTCAACCACCATGATATGTGATTTAAACCTTTACTTTATTTTATTTTCCAGTGTTGCAGTATTTTTATGTCTATTAGTTAATCTGGAAGAAAAAACAAAAACCTTCTCCTGTGAAAAAACCTTCTCTGAACCCATTTTTTTTAATACAAATTAATTTGAAAATGTTTCCTCTTCCTCAAAGTCTTCTGTGACCACAATAGAAGTAAACCAGTGTTTGAGTGGCAAATTCTATTGGCCCGAATCCTCTGCGTGTCAAACTGAACTGCAGTAATCTTTCCAAATCGTCACTCGCCCTGTTTTATTAAAGGAGTAGGTCACTTTTAAAAAAACTTTTGCTGATAATTTACTCACCCCCGTGTCATCCAAGATGTCCGTGTCTTTCTTTCTTCAGTCGAAAAGAAATTAAGGTTTTTGATGAAAACATTCCAGGATTTTTCTCCATATAATGGACTTCAATGGGGACCAAACGGTTCAAGGTCCAAAAAACACTTTCAGTACAAACTGCAAACTGTTCAAAGGGCTTTAAACGATTCCAGACGATGAATAAGGGTCTTATCAAGCGAAACGATCACTCATTTAATAAATAAATAACAAAGTTTAAGTTTTATAAGCTCAAATGCTCGCCTTGCTCTGTTCTGTAACGCACTCCTGTTCGAACTCGCTCATCAAAATGAACAAATCTTTTTCCGAGTCATTCGGCGAAAGAAACGATTGAATTGATTCGGAAAAAGATTTGTTCATTTTGTTGAACGAGTTTGAACAGGAGAGTCACGAACGTGCACCACAGAACAGAGCAAGGCGAGCATTTGAGCTTATAAAACTTAAACTTTGTTATTTATTTATTAAATGAGTGATCGTTTCGCTTGATAAGACCCTTATTCATCGTCTGGAATCGTTTAAAGCCCTTTGAACAAGTTTGCAGTTTGTACTGAAAGTGTTTTTTGGACCTTGAACCGTTTGGTCCCCATTGAAGTCCATTATATGGAGAAAAATCCTGGAATGTTTTCATCAAAAACCTTAATTTCTTTTCGACTGAAGAAAGAAAGACATGGACATCTTGGATGACACGGGGGCGAGTAAATTATCAGCAAAAGTTTTTTCAAAAGTGAACTACTCCTTTAATGGAGATTTTCAAACTTTTGCGCCCTTTCACTGCAAACATTGTCTAATTATCTCTACACAAAACAAAACTGTAAATGGTCGTGGTATCAGTGGTTAGAGGTACCGTACTTCCAGCAAACAGAACTCAAAAGAGGGCATGTATAGGGAAAACAAAAGTGGTCCCAAAATCGAGCCCTGAGGAACACCACAAACTAAAGTATATTCCCTATAAAATGTCCTTTAGATACAGGCAAACCACTACTCGATGTTCCAAACTTGAGTATCTTACAAGTTTCTGGAATTTAAACTCATTTAAAACCAATTATAATTATTGCACTTTTTTATATAATAAATGTATTTACCAAGAGATACACAAAAAGATTAAATAAATATTCAAGTAATATTCAAGCTTCAAAATACTGGTTCGTCATTAATAGGTAAATATGCAGGACTAATGACTTGTACTACTCAAACAGCTTCACTAATATGGAAACATGATTAACTAATCAGTATGTAATATCACATTTAGGATAGGTAATCAATAATTGCTGAATGTGATTAGCCTCATTAATTAACTACTACTGTAGCGGTCGACCGATTTATCACCAGGGCCAATATATCGACTCATATTTGGCATTTTAAAATACTTTAAAAGTTACCAAGTGTTTATTTGACATTTTTATGTTTCAATCATTTTCAAATTTATTTATTCAATTCAAATTTTGGGACTGGGTAAAAAAAGACATAAAAGATCAGTTTTTTATCATGCTTTTATATCTCTGTTCTGATCTATTTCTTTTTCTTACGCTTTGGCTATTTTTATTTCAGATCGGACACTGTGCTATTGGTATGTACTATATTTTAAAGTGCGACGCTAACATATTTGCTTCCAGGGATATGAAGATATTTTCAGGTGTTGTTTTTGCTGTGTTAAAGGAATTGTGCGGACATCTGTAATTGTGACTGGGGTCCAAGTGTGCTCTCGGATATTCATGGTCTGGTTTATTGCAAACAGCATCAGACAGGTCGGTGTGCATGAGGAGGACTGTTACTAATAATGGGAATTATGGGACATTTTCACTGTTCGCCAATCTCTAAATGGGCCGTTCCATTTTAAATATTGTTTTCTCTGGTTTGAAACGCATACTAAGATTCAGAACGCGGAGAGCGTGATCTTGTTCTTAGTGGTGTGGACGGTTACAGAGATCACACGCTACTCTTTCTACACTTTCAACCTGATCCACCATCTGCCGTACTTCATCAAGTGGGCCAGGTACGGCGTGGTTTACTGAGCATGCTCAAACTCACACGCACGTGCGTAGAGCTAAAGGTACGCAGCTTGCTAGGATTGTTAGCCCTAACCCTAATCCTGTGTGTGACGTTTGATTTACGCGTGTTACTAATAGTAGGGATTTGAAAACACATTGCTTTATACTCACGCCTCACTAGCGAAATGGTTTAGCTCGTGAAGTTACCGTCACTTCCTGTTGCTTGACTGCTACTTCCTACTATATAGTGGGCGAAAAACTGCGTAAAATTCCCAGTCCTCGTAATGACCGGCCACTTCTGGTGGGATTCTGAAGTGTTCATCCGACGGACACTTTTCTATCCCATGAGGCCACGGGAGAGGATTTATGAACGACATGGCGAATGTAAAACCTCCTCAACTCCCCAAATGTGGCCCTTCCATCTCACTTGCACAAAAACACATGCAGTATTCCTTAAAATTAATAAAAAAAGTCAAATATGCAAACATGCAGTAATTAAATATCTTAAATAATACAAATAGACTTAAACGTACAGTATGTAATTTTTGGCCACCAGGGGGCACTCAATCAAATAACAAAAGACGTACTTTGATGACGTCGGGAAAGAGCGTGGGCTCACGGGAGTTGTCGTTGCGGTCAATGACCACCAGTTCATAGAGTGCCGAAGTGATGACGTCACTTTGTAGGACGACTCGGACGCTAGCGGCGCGTTCACTCGACCGAAAAGCTCTGCATTTTCCCCATAGACTTTTGGAAAATCGAAAATCCAAAAGACTTTTGGACCCTTACACATTTTGTCTATAAAGTTTAAACAACCACAAGCAGGCTATAACTGTGTGTTCTGTGTCATAGATCAAAACGTGAAAATATTTTGAGGCTTTGTTCACCACAGACCTTATTTCAGGCGATTTAGCAAAAACTCATTCAAAAATCCGATAAACTTTAGAGCGAGGGAACCGGGAGTGCTAATGCTAACTCACGTCCGCATTTGGCCTATAGAGTGACGTCGTAACGTCGGCACTCTATTGGAACACGCGCGCTCTAACAATCACGTCTTTTCGAACAGAATTATCAGACCCCTATTATATCAATATTCCATCTAGCTAGTATTAATAGATATTTAAAAAACACGCTCACCTTTCGTTAACAATTATAATTACGTTTATACTATGATATGGAACAAGATAACGTTAGTGAACTGCATATGAAGCTACTTTCTCCAGTTGCAAAATGATACTAGCAACTACTTTTTTCTTTCTTCGTCGTTTTCTTTGCTTTTATTGGCGGTAGTCCGGCGTTCCCCGTTGTGTTTGGCGGTTTCGCCGGTTCCGCAGGAAGTTAGAGAAAATAGAGGTGTCAAAGGTTATATGACGCCATAGACGGGCGGCGAAACGGAAATAAAGAAACATCCCGTGTCTTCGAATTAAACTATACATTTCTCCGGATTTGAAAGTTGGTGGAAAGTGTCGGGATAATCTACAGTAAGTACACTTCTAATAGAAATATACAACATAGAGCAGTTAATTTTCGCAGTTAAACGCAGTTAATTTTCATAAAGAGTAACTAAGTAAAGCGAGTAGTTGTTTTTTAGGGAGTAACTCAATATTGTAACCATCATGACTTTTGCGTAAGCATACACGCCAATTTCGAGTCAAGTGGCGTGTTATCTCGACGCATTTTGAGCTATCCGCGTGTATGTCTACGCCATTAACGTCCGCGTCATTCCGCGTGTCAAATGTCCGCGCGAAACGAAGCAAAATGTAGATCTACATCTGGGGGGCGATCTTTTTCTTTCCTAGGATGGTGAGGGAACAGTCGTAAATGCCGTTAACCCCAGTGACGGGTAGGTTTAGGGACGGGGTTGAGGTAAGTCATATATTTATATATACAGTAATAACGTTAAGTCAACGGCGTTCATAAACACGCTGAAAAGCGATTATGTGTGTTGATAGCACGCCAAAAATAGAAAATACGAATTGGCGTGTCATACAAACGCTACTTCATGAGATCCGTCTGTTGTAACGGATTACTTTTAAAAGTAACTCGAATTTACCAGCCCCGATCCTGGAGTTCTGCAGTCTGAAACTCTGCTTTGAAGATTCTGCGAATCATTTGTTTGTAAAGCAGTGATTGTGAGCGAGTATCGAACTGCTAATGTCATGTGATTTCAGGCTTTGCTACATCATTGGACCAGGACCAGCCAATATGCATGTGTCTCGCAATATTAATAACTTTCCCCAAAACTGAATTACGTAATAATTGTTGATGTGTGTGTTTGTGTGGTTATAATGTGTGATGTCGCATTTATTTTCCTGCTTTGTCTTTCGGTTTTCCTCAGGTATAACCTGTTTATCGTCATGTACCCCCTGGGAGTCGTTGGTGAACTGCTGACCATACAAGCTGCCTTGCCGTATGTTCGGAGATCAGGCATGTTCTCGCTCAGGCTTCCCAACAAATACAACGTGTCCTTCGACTATTACTACTTCCTGATCATCGTCATGCTGTCCTACATCCCACGTAAGAACAATAATCTAAAATGTCTTATTTACCTATCATGCTAGCCATGTGCTAATCAATGCTAGCAACGTGCTAAAATATGTAAGCCAACTGTTAAAACATAATAGCAATGTGCTAATTCATGTTCGCAAAGTTAAAACTTGCTAATTCATCCTAGTAACTTGCTAAACATGTTAGCAACATGTTAATTAATCCTAACAACCTGTTAAAACAGGTTAGCAAAATTAACAGGTTAGTTAATTCATACTAGCAACATGTTAAATCATGCTAGCAATGTGTTAAACCATGTTAATTCACGTTAGCAATGTTTAAACATGCTAATTCTTGCTAGCAACAGGCTATGTAAATGACAGAATCGCTGTCATTCACTGGAAGCCAAGGCTGATTTTCTGATTAGATTAAGGAGTTTTTACGTTACCAGCGTGCTAAAACATGCTAGCAAACTGTTTGTTAGCAATGTGTTAAAACATTGTAATTCAAGTTAGCAAAATGCTAAAACATGCTAGCAACATGCTAATTAATAGTGAAAACCACATGCTAGAAATGTTAAAACATCCTAGCAACATGTTAACAAAATGTGAAAACATGCTAGAAATGATAACTTGCTAGTAAAAAATGATAATTCATTCTAGCAAAATGTTAGAATGTTAAAACATCATAGCAACATGCTTATTGATACTAAAAACTGTTAAAACATGTTAGCAAAACATGCTCATTCAGTTTAGCAACATGTTAAGACATGTTAGAATGTTAAAACATGCAAACAGCATGATAATTAATGCTAACAACATGCTAATTCATGCTAGCAATGTGCTAAAATATGTAAGCCAACTGTTAAAACATAATAGCAATGTTAGCAAATTAAAACTTGCTAATTCATCCTACTAACTTGCTAAACATGTTAGCAACGTTTTAATTAACCCTAACAACCTGTTAAACAGGTTAGCAAACATAATTAATGCTAGCAACATGCTAATTCATGCTAGTAATGTCGTTCTTTCCCTTTCCACTTCACTAAGTCCAAAGCTTATAAAACGTTCAAAGTTTAATACGCTGTTGTGAAGCCAACGTAAAGTTTGTCTCGATGAATTGGCTCTCTTCTCAAAGTCGTTTCTCTTCCAGTGTTTCCTCAGCTCTTCTTCCACATGCTGCGTCAGCGGAGGAGGGTTCTTCACGGAGAAGTCATAGTAGAGAAAGATGAGTAGAAGGAATCCCCAGCTAGCCGTCAGATATTTGAGAAAAGTTTATGATAAAACAATTAAATATGAATCAATTCTACTGCTATTAGTTACGGTCGATATTCCCAGGAGAACCCGTCATTAAGGTTCGCCTCTCTCCCAGTTGTGTTTCACCTCACAAGGACTGAATCGCTTCATTCGTCAACGGAGATCTGACCCGAAGGACAAGGGATGGAGAATCCTCGAGCATTGGATCTGGCATTAATAGCGGTTAGCGGTTAGCATTAGCGCTAGCTCTAATCTCTCCTGTTCGGGACTGGGTTGTTGGGTGAACCGTTCCACACATTCTCCATCTCCACTTTGGGTTCTCATCCATGTTCTTGGACGGACAGATTCGAGATTAAAATAACGAATACTTCTTATCTTCTTCCATCTGGAGGTGGTGTTATAGCAGACTTTAGTAGAAGAGCAAAACCTGTGGGACTGACAAAACAATGTATAAACTGTTTGTTTTTTTAATCACTTGGCTACTTGATTTCTCACAATAGCATTCACACGCAATAGGTACTAAAACAAGCATGTAATTCAAATAAACATAAATGTATTAATATACGAAAGTATCGTCATTATCTAGATATCATCTTGAAGGTTATCAATGATCTTCAGTCTGAGAACTGATTCTTTAGTATTATTAGTTATTTCTGAGAATTGCTATGTTGGGATTGAGTTTTCCCGCTATGATTATCTGTTGCTTCGGTGTTTACAGTAATAAACTGGGAGAGTTTGTACAGCTCGCGTTCATCTGCTGCTGAAACTTTAGCTCATTTGGCTCTCAGACCTTCTGTGTTGTTGTTGTTGTTGTTGTTGTTTTTATTTATAATTTGTTGTTTTTCTGTAAGAAACTTGAGTTCACAGCTCTTCTGAGGAGATTGTCTCTACGGTGCTTCATTGTCTTCCTCTCCTGTGCGGCTGAGGAGAGAGAGGACACGCTGTGACATCATTACATAGAATTGTGAAGAACATTTTCATGTGATTTAATTCAATACCTGGTAAATGTACGGATTGAATAAAGGTCTTTGAAGAAAGAATGAAAGAAACAATAAAAAGAACCATGACTATATGTATGTACCCGAGCATTAGTATTGCTCTCGTTGTGAAATGCTTACACCCTTAAACACCCTCAAAGAATAGTTTAGGAAAAACATAAAAACTTTATTTGTTGAGAAAATGTGAAAAATGTAGTATACTCAGGTAGTGAGCTCGCTATTCGTCAGACTGATTAACTAACTGTTTAATTGGACTGATTAACTGGATAAAAATGCAATTGTACCCAATTTTTGTCCAAAATGCACTTTCATTTTCTGCTAATGGGCTTTATGCACAGCTGCACTACTTCCTGAACTTCAGCCAGCTCCTTGTTTTCTGTCTGCCATTATTGGTCAAATTGATTAATTCAGGTGTGCTTGACCTCGGTAGTCACGGCAACAATAATCAGACACACCTGAATTAATCAATTTGGCCAATAATGGCAGACAGAAAACAAGGAGCTGGCTGAAGTTCAGGAAGTGGTGCAGCTGGGCATAAAGCCAATTAGAGAGAAGAACTTTTATTTATATCCTTAAGATCGATAAATGTAAATATTTTTTTATGATAAACCCTTTGAAATCGTTCTCGAGGGATCCCTGAGTACATTTAAAGAAAACAAAACACCAATTATATATATTAGATTATGAATATTTGTACAACATGTGATGATATGCGCGCGCCAGGGCATCTGAAGCAGTCTGTGGCATGCGCATGCGCATGCGCGCGTGAGGGGGCATCTCGCGCACAGAACGAGAGCCGTGTGTTCGTCTTTTCTGCAACACACATGGTGAAAAGGTGAGTTTCATTATTTTGATGTAATTATATGTATGTATATGTGCATTATTGCGTATTGTGAGGCATATCGGTATTAATATGATTTGAGATACTGCATGCTGCTCGTATGATTTATGTCACGCAAACAGCATTCCACACAAATATAACACAGAAACGTGTATTTAATCGAAAGTCAGTCAGTGTGTTGATATAATCATGATTCAATAAATAAATTGAAATCCATTATGAATAATGAAATGTTCATAATGAAAGATGAAAAATATGATGCTGCTGATTTGACTAAATTAAACAGTCATGATGTGCATAAATGGCATTCCGTTTTATAGGCATTTGGCATTAATTGATCAATACTACAAAAATGGAAAAATACTTAATAAACCGTTTGTAAATGATGATTATAATACTGCTAAAGAACGCTGGGTGTAAACAGCATTGATCGCAGGTGTTGAGTTGTGATTGTTCTCTCGGGATGTTTGTGTGTGTGTGTGTGTGTGTGTGTGTGTGTCTGTGTGTGTGTGTGTGTGTGTCTTGTGGCATTCGGGCCTCTTACACCTGAGGGCTGATTCAATTAATGAAGTATGATATGATTAAGCGTTATAAGTGTTGCATGTGTGGCAGATCCTCTTCTGTCCTGTGGGAACGCGTCTGCTGAGTGGAAAGTGGTGCTGCTGATGGGCTCTGAACGGGTGGAGATGGGGGAGAGCACCCCGACCCGAACCCTGGAGCCCGACCCCACACACACCCCGACACGAACCCTGGAGCCCGACCCCACACACACCCCGACCCGAACCCTGGAGCCCGACCCCACACACACCCCGACCCGAACCCGGGACCCGCCACACACTCCGGCGAACGCCTGCTGCTTCTGCTGGTGCTGTTGCTGCAGCTGCTCCTGGTGAGGACACTCGTCTTTAAATGGACAGTTCGAATACAATTTGAGTTATAAAAATGTTCTGGCTCTTCCAAGCTCTATAATGGCAGTGGATAGATGTATATTTTTATTTATATCCATCCAGATGCACTTTTATGATGGACAGATGCACTTTTATGATGGACAGATGCACTTTTATGATGGATAGATGCACTTTTATGATGGATAGTTGCACTTTTATGATGGACAAATGCACTTTTATGATGGACAGATGCACTTTTATGATGGACAGATGCACTTTTATGATGGACAGATGCACTTTTATGATGTACAGATGCACTTTTATGATGGACAGATGCACTTTTATGATGGATAGATGCACTTTTATGATGATAGATGCACTTTTATGATGGACAGATGCACTTTTATGATGGACAGATGCACTTTTATGATGGATAGATGCACTTTTATGATGATAGATGCACTTTTATGATGGACAGATGCACTTTTATGATGGACAGATGCACTTTTTATGATGGACAGATGCACTTTTATGATGGACAGATGCACTTTTATGATGGATAGATGCACTTTTTTATGATGGATAGTTGCACTTTTATGATGGACGGATGCACTTTTATGATGGATAGATGAACTTTTATGATGGACAGATGCACTTTTATGATGGACAGATGCACTTTTATGATGATAGATGCACTTTTATGATGGACAGATGCACTTTTATGATGGACAGATGCACTTTTATGATGGACAGATGCACTTTTATGATGGATAGATGCACTTTTATGATGGACAGATGCACTTTTATGATGGACAGATGCACTTTTATGATGGACAGATGCACTTTTATGATGGACAGATGCACTTTTATGGACTTCAAAACAAAACAGTCCATTCACTGCCATTATAAAGCTTGGAAGAGTCAGGACATTTTTAATATAACTCTGATCGTATTTCGTCTGACAGAAGGAAGTCTTCTACACTTGAGGGAGAGTAAATCATGGGCTAAAGTTAATTTTTGGGTGAACTATCCCGTTAATCTCCAACGCGCGTTCAAGACAGAACAGAGACACGTGTGTTGATGCAAGAGCAGACATTGTTTTGTGAATGTGCGTTGGAGATTAATATTTTGTAAAACATTGCCTTTACAACTTTAAGCTTGATATAATACATATTCTCTGTACAATTCAGGTAAAAAAATATATTTTTGCAGTGCATTTTAAGTGAACTAAAGTGTAAGTCTAGTGTGTTTGAGATGAAAACTTCATTAAGGCTAATGTAGATGAGCTGAGATCTCCAATTCATTAGGAGCCTCTCCGGAGACATTCAGCCGTCACAGAAAACATGTTTTTATAATGTGTGTGTGTGTGTGTGTGTGTAGTCTGACAGTACGCTCTGCTAAGGAGGAAAAAACTATGACGACGATCTCAGAAGAACAAGAGGAGGCTGATATCGAACAGATGTGAGTTGTGTTGTAAGTTAAAAAGTAGTCGCTTTCAGAGACATCCCTCTTTTTTATTTCTTTAATGTTCCTTGAGGTTTATTTATAATGTTAGTAAAGTTTGTTTTGAACAAATACATTTGCTTTAGCAGCGCAGCACTTTGCGTATATATATATATATATATATATATATTAGAGTCCGACCGATAAAGGATTTTGAAGGCCGACACCGATACAAATATTTTGGGGTTTTAAAATCCGATATTCCGATATATCGGCCGATATTTTTTTTTGTTAAATATTGTTGGATTTCACACACGTGTAAAAGAAAAGCTAACTTTTCTGCACAAGATACGTTTGATACTTTTTCTCTATGTCTAAATGTTCACTCCTCGCAATAACTTACATTTTACAATGCAGGGACTGTAACTAGAGATATGCTAGTTATAAATACAGCAGTGGCGGCTGCTGGTCTTTCAAAGAGGGGAAGCTCTTTTTTCTTCTTTTTTAAACTCGACTGTCAGGTGTGGGGATGGTGAAAAGAGCGAGGACTCGATACAGAGTTGATGGGCTTTATTTTATTGATAAAAACAAACAAAAAACAAACAAGGGGAATAAATTGGGAGCAAAAAAGGCAGGTCACGAGGGAGGACAGGTGGGGCAAAATAACTAATAATCAGGAAACAAGATGGGAGTCACAATGACAGGAAAGCACATATGGCACAACAAACACATGACAAGCACAAGCCATGTGCTCATACCAAACATGACAAAAACACATGACCAATAAAACTAATTAAAAAGCAATTGTGCTCACACAAAATGAGACCTGAAGAACGATGAGAACACTCATAAGACACGTGTTCACACAGAACATGACAACATGAAAGCACACAGCTAGTTTAAAACACAAGCTGTGTGCTACACATCACAAGACAAAACATGAAAGCACGCGGCCGATATAAACACAAACCATGTGCCACACAATACACAACAGACAACACACTGAACAGAGCGAACACGACAAGACAGAACGCTAACGTCAAGCATGAGTACGACCATAAGGTCATCCTGTGCACTCACAACCGAAAACAAATACGCGGAGAATGCATGTCCGAATCCCAACACAAAAGTGAAACCAAACTAGACAGATGAGATGTGCCGTGATTCAAACACCACGCCCGCACATGTAACAACAAGACACCTGACATCGACGGAAGAAATGTGGGAATTAGGTTGAACTGTAAAATATCTGATGAAAATTGCAAATACTAAGAAATATGTTACAGTAGTTCGTCTTTCGAGTAAAATACACACAAAATTCGCGACGAGACTGAGCACGAAGTCTTTAAACTAACTTCCGCGTCAGCGATTTTTTTATTGGGTGAAATCACTGTCAATCAAAAGGAGATGCAATCCTCCAATCATCACGCGGACGCCCGGACGCCAGGCCAGCCCACTTCCCTATTAAACCCAGAGACGCCCAAATAGACGTCTCTGCGGAACAACAAGAAGGCGTTTCCCAATTAGTGGGCGTTTTCAAACCCGTCTAGGCATTTTCCAACCATCCAATCAAAACGTACGGAACGGATCCGGAAGCCCTTTCAGAAGCGTATGCGTTATTAATATTTCTCGTTTTCTTGATTTTTACTATTATGTCTATATCGCGACAACATTTCACAAAATAATATACAGTCTACAGTTACCTATTTTCTTTAAAATAGAAATTCTTTCACAAACCAAATTTCACGTTTTTATAAGATAGGCGTTACAGATCTTGTATAATAGCCTGTGTGTATTTATAATATTCTCTCCAACCTACATGTAATTTGTCTCTAAATGTAAACCTTAAAAGGTTTACATTTAAAAACAAGTATTAAAAAATAGGTTGTTACTCAACTATTTATAATTACATAGTTTTAATTTCGTTTTGTGTGTGTGAACACAACATAAATCGAGTTGTAACGGTGATTAAAAAGGTAAATTAATAGCAATTTCCAATAATGATATCAAATCATACTGTAAAGCAATGGTGAAAATGATTGTACCCTATTGGTCTTTCTCACCTGTATTTTTCAAAATATGTTTATATGTAATGACTGATATTTAAGTGATATTTGTAACTTACATTAAATTACATATAAAACATATTGACCTTTAAAATAAGGTAAAATGTGTTTACTTAGAATAATGACTCTGAAAACATTAGCATCACTTTATTGACCAATATGATGAAAAACTGTATTGATAAATGCAGCATTCTGATAAACAATACATGTGGCAAGTTCAAACATGAGGAACACATTGTATATGGCAAGCCATTTTAACATTTTATCATTTTAACCTACAGTCTCTATTTTCATGCTACTAGTACTTATTTTTTAGATACTATCTATTCCAATAAGTACTAGTACTTATTCAATAGCTACTAGTGCCTTTTCTTTAGATACTAGTGTTTATTCTTTAGGTACTAGAACATTATTAAAGATACTAGTACTTATTCATTAGATGCTAGTCCTTATTTATTAGATACCAATGCCTATTCATTAGATAGTAGTACTTATTCATTAGATACCAGTACCCGTACCTATTAAATAGACACTAGTACTTATTCATTACATACTAGTACTTATTTCAATAGTGACTAGTAACTTTTCTTTTGTTACTCGTAACATTTTTTTTTTTTTTGCCATTGACTTCTATGGGGATCTGTCATTCAGATATCAACTGTTCAATTCTGAGTAGTATGTATTCCAATTGTGACTAGTACATACTACTAGTAAGAATTTTTATTTTACCAGTAAGAGTTTTAATTGAACTCTACAGTGGCCGTTCTGACTAGTCATAACATAAGACTAGTAAAAAAGCAGTTGTGACTAGTAAAATAAAACATTTGGAATAAATACTAGTATCTAATAAATATGTACTAGTATCTATTGAATACGTACTAGTATCTAATAATAGGTACCGACATCTAATGAATAAGTACTAATACTAGTATCTAAAAAATAAGTACTAGTACCTAATGAATAACTACTAGTATCTAATGTATAGGTACTAGTCACAATTGGAATACATACCAGTCAGAACTGAACAGTTGATATCTGAATGACAGATCCCCATAGAAGTCACTGGCAAAAAATTAAATTTGTTACTAGTCACTATCGAAATAAGTACTAGTATCTAATTGAATAAGTACTATAGTATCTATTTAATAGGAAATAGTATCTAATGAATATGTACTAGTATCAAATAATAAGTACTGGTATCTAATGAATAATACTAGTATCTAATGAATAAGCACTAGTAACTAATAAATAAGCACTATATAATAAATAGGGACTAGTATCTAATGAATAAGTACAAGTATCTAATAAATAAGGACTAGTATCTAATGAATAAGTACTAGTATCTAATGAATAAGCACTAGTATTTTAAAAAAGTGCTAGTACCTAAAGAATAAGCATCTAAAGAAAAGGCCCTATAGTATCTATTGAATAAGTAGTATCTAATAAATAAGGACTGGTATCTAATGAATAATACTAGTATCTAATGAATAAGCACTAGTAACTAATAAATAAACACTATATCTAATAAATAGGGACTAGTATCTAATGAATAAGTACTAGTATCTAAAGAAAAGGCACTATCTAAAGAATAAGCACTATAGCTATTTGATAAGTACTAGTACTTAATGGAATAGATACTAGTATCTCAAAAATAAGTACTAGCTTGAAAATAGAGACTAGTAGTAGGTTTAAATGATTAAATGTTAAAACGGCTTGCCTGAAACATTAGATGCTTCCTCCAGCCTCATAGAAACAGTTGTCTCCGCAGTATCCTTGGAAGTCATCAGAACCCCTGCAATACACCTCTTTACCCTGTTCCTCTGTAGCCTTTGCCACAGTCTTTGTCAGTCTCATGACACCTGAAAAATGTTATCATTCATCCATTATGTTAGTCTATAGGTTTGACTACACATGTGAGGTATTAATGCCTGCACTGATATAATGAAGAGTGTTGAACATTGACTACTGAGCTGATCTCAATGCTAGAAAAGATCAAATCATGTTTCTATTTAAATCTAATGATCTGCAGAGGTTTTTGTTAGGGTTATGACTGAGATATAATATAAATAACAGAAAAAATATAAATTTTATATTAAAATTGATATATGGATATGAAAAATAATAAACTTAACAAGCAATGATTTTTCAGCTCTTCTTGTTTTCTTACAGCGCACCACACTCACTCAAACACCATTTCATATACAGTATGAAGGGAGTGGGTTCTGGACTGAACGAAAACATAGGCTAATTTCTCCAAAATATTATAGTTTTTAATAATTTTTTAATAAGATACAATTTTCAGTTAGATTAATGTGCACAACACTTTCCTTAAAATATATTTATAGTTATTCTTTTTTATTATTGAATTAATAGTACATATTAGTAGGCTACCTATACCCCTGGTTTCACAAACAATTTGAAAGCCTAGTCCTAGACCAAAATGTAAGTCTGTTCCAACTGAATCAACTTGCACTAACAGATCTTAAAATATATCACTGCCGTTGTTTTGTCTCAAGATGAACACCAGTAATGTTTTTTTTATTCTAAGCATGTTTATGAAAATTATTTAAATGTCCTAATTATTTTAATTCCTTCTATATAAAGCACTTTGAATTACCGTTGTGTATGAAATGTGCTATATAAATAAACTTGCCTTGTCTAATTGAACTATGGACAATCTGGTTTAGGCTAAACCCTGTCCCTGTCTGTGAAACCGGGCCATAATGTCCTGGACATAAATGGCACATATTCGGTGAAATAGCCCATTAACATTTGTTTACATCTATTGTTTTCTAGTCTGACAAGCTAACTTTAACTTTTTTTTTATATTAGAATACGCAGACTGGGAAAAAAATAGGAAAGCAAACTACCAATATCAACACTAATGTAACAAACTTATGCTAATAATGGGTAGCGAGATTGTAAGTGGCAGACCTCTTGGAGCTTTTCTTAATCATGTAACAACATCACGTTGCAAGCAAATTTGCACAAACTAATTAACGTTAACAGACGTAAATTGAAAGTTTACACAAATCCACTTACATCCATACAGGTGACCTCTCTCATTTCACTGCTTTCTCGCTTTATCACTCATATCTGATGGGAAAAGCGTATTCAAGGGAATGGGCTCTATGCACGGCGGTATTTCCGGTGAAGCATTAGGGATGCTCGATAACTTCCGCCGATCATAGAGTCCAATGCAATAGCAAGAATTTATATTGAATTTTATACTCCATGGTTATACTAATGAAACGTTAGTCACAAAAACAGATAAAACAGACACCCCTCGTTGTGTTTATGCTTCTTTTTAAAATGATATCAAATAAACATAACTGTATATAAAATTACATCTAAACGTATGTACATTTCGTTTCAAAGACGGGAGGACAGTAAATATTGAAGACTGACTCTGCCATAATCCCGTTTTCTCCGGTTTTCCTCCGCTTTAATCTACACAACCGGAAATAGACGAGCATCCTTGCGTCAAATGCGGAACTTATGCGTGCATATAGCCCATCGCGCGTCCCACTCAAGTTTTAGCGAACCAGGCAGAGAGGTTGTAAAACGCCTACCCGGTTGTAAAACGCCCCCAAATTGAGGCACGCCCCTTGTTGTTCTGCAGAGACCTCCTTCTCGAGACGCCCGGCGTCCGTGGGCGGGACATAATCGCAGCATTTATCCAATGACCGTCTAGTTTAACAGCACTGAAAAAAACTGTTCAAAGCAGCCCCATTGAAGTCAATGGACGCCGAGCTTCAACGGGGAAATGCCATAGGAAAACGCATGCACTGTGACGCGCTACAGGAGGCGCTGCATGAGAAGGAGATCAAGTCAGCCGACCTGCTATTTGTTGCTTATTCTGAACGAACTCGTCTTCGAGATTACCGTGTTCTAACGCATTTTTACTCATTAAAATATTAACACAATAGTACACATTTGATCATTATTTGTTTGACATTATAGGGGAAGCTGAGCTTCCCTTGCAGTCTTAAAGAAATCTCCACTGAAATACAGTAATCATTACTTTATTTAGGCAAAAAAAGTTCATTGTGGTTTCCAAGCTCATTAATGTTAACGTTAGCGGTCTTCCACTGATGATAGTGGCGTTAGCTAGCTTTGTGGTTAGCTAGTCTATGATGAGCCATAATTTAGCAATAGGTAACATCATACAACATACATTTTCAATATAACCGGCCAAGGAGAGATGATTGAAGCGTGTTTCGTCCATTTTTATTTTATTTTTTAAATATTCAGTTATCGGCCATTATAACTGCCGACACCGATATTTTGGATAATGCCTAATATCGGCCGATAACATCGGTCTGGCTCTAATATATATAAAGCATGTTCAGATATTCATACAACAAAGTATTCTGTGGCCCATGAAAGTTTTGTGTAAATGATGATAAGTGCTGACTAAAGAAGTAAAGAGTTAATGATGTGCGGATGATGTGTCCTCTAGGCCTCAGCTCACCCTGGAGGAGGTCCAGTCGTGGGCGGAGTCATTCGAGCGTTTAATGAAAAATCCTCAAGGCCGTTTGCACTTCCAACAGTTCCTCAAGTCGGAGTTTAGTGAAGAAAACCTGAAATTCTGGCTCATCTGTGAGGATCTAAAGAAACAGACCAACCAAACCACAGTTGAACAGACCGTGAAACAAATCTACGAGGACTACGTCTCTGTGAAATCACCTAAAGAGGTATACATGCTCATTTCCACACGATAACTCCATCTGTGCTTTTGCTTGTACTTTTGTTGTCAAACATTTCGACCGAAACAATTTGTCCGAGGAACTTTTTTCCAGACCTGTTGCCGTCTGTGAAGTTGACGAAGGACAACACTACCTGCCGGGAACTACTTTTTCAAAGTTCGGGAACTTTAAGGGGTGGGGCTTGGGCTCTGAACAAGCTGATTGGTTGAGTTCATGACTCTTTTTACAAATGGTGGTGAACTCAACCAATCAGCATGTTCAGAGCCCAAGCCCCACCCCTTAAAGCTCCCGAACTTTAAAAAAGTAGTTCCCGGCAAGAAGGGACTTTCTGAGGGGGAAATTCTTACCTGGAGCTTCATTTCGACCCCGTGGCTCGTGATGACCTGTGTTTGTGTCTCCAGGTGAGTCTGGACTCGCGTGTGCGTCAGGTGATCCACAACAAAATGCAGGATCCGTCCTCGTGCACGTTTGACGAGGCGCAGCTGCAGATCTACACGCTCATGCAGAGAGACTCCTTCCCTCGCTTCATGAACTCCAGCATGTACGCAGACCTCCTACAGGGCCTTCAGACGCCCAGCGAGTCCTAACACACACACACACATACATTAACACACACAATTCCCTGTAGACCTCGTAGTTTGCACATCCCAGGTGATCAGGTCTCATTTATAACCATCGTGTTTTATACTATTTGATTTATATATTCAAAAACAAGGCAAGGATAGGCTAATAAATGCTTTTAAGCGATGTAATGTCTTGTACTGTTAAACATGGACTCATAGATGAGGATATACATAGTAAAAAGAGGCGTTGTAAGCTAGTTAAAGGGTTAGTTCACCCAAACATGAAAATTCTGTCAGTATTTACTCTCCCTCATGTTTAAGACCTTCGTTCATCTTCGCAACACAAATTAAGATATTTAAGATATTAAGATCGCTCCTGCATACAGTCCATAGGCTTCTTGAGGGAATGGGATCGAAAAGTCATTAAAGACATCGTTAAAATAGTCCAAGTGACTACAGCGGCTCAATCTTAAGTTTATCAAACGATGAGAACACTTTTGTGCGCAAAAACAACAAAAATAACGACTTTATTTTATGAGCCTGTAGTCAGTTAGCGTAGTGTGATTGCGTAAAGCTACGTCACACGAAGGCTCACTATTGGCCGACGCTGGTCATGTGTGTGACGTACAATAACAGAAGCTTACGCTATTAAACTAGTAACCTGACTCGCGCAGAGGGAGAAATAAACCAATAGTTGAAATAAAGTCGTTATTTTTGTTTGTTTTTGCGCACAAAAGTGTTCTCGTCGTTTGATAAACTTAAGATTGAGCCGCTGTAGTCACTTGGACTATTTTAACGATGTCTTTAATGACTTTTCGATCCCATTCCCTCAAGAAGCCTATGGACTGTATGCAGGAGCGATCTTAATATCTTAAATATCTTAATTTGTGTTGCGAAGATGAACGAAGGTCTTACGGGGTTGAACAACATGAGGGTGAGTAAATACTGACAGAATTTTCATTTTTGGGTGAACTAACCCTTTAATTCGGGGAGGAGACGCATGTGAACACAATCTTCCTCTGACAGGATCTGGCGTACGCACGCTTTTATAAGTCTGAATCTGTAAAAGCTTTCGGGCGCATGTACACTTTCAGTAAAGATCCTACGCACAGTTTTATAAATTTACACGATTCTCAAATGCATTTACTTTTATTGCATTTTGTTGTGCTGCGAGACACGCGCCTCATGGACACGCAGAAACCGAAGCACGAACTCCACAAGACCTCTGAACGTTACGTGTGGTTCGGGAACGGTTTGAGTTCAAATTCCCCAGATCTCGACCCTATTGAAAAGTCTATTTAAGAAGTTGTAGTTCAATGTAAGATATAATCTGTGCTCGCCTCGGATATACACTTATAATGGCAGAACCGTGAGTGTGCCTTGCCTCAGACTAGGATAGACTCGAACATCGGAGCTTCGGCTAGTTTCAATCTAGAGGATTGACCATTTACATGTGGAATTAGATCATTAGATCTTGCTCACATCGACCTATGAGGTCAACTCTGTTTATGCCTTTAATAATTCAATTAATGCATTTTATAGACTTATGTGTAATAACTGTACAAAAAGAGAAAAGCAACATTAAAGTACAAAATAAAAATGTCCCATGTGCAATCATTGATTTAAAAACTGCAACAGACTGCATGGACTAAACTAACCCTACATCTAAATGTAAGCTAATTTAACACAAGTTTTAGGATTTAAGATATCTGCACATACACTGAAAACAATTAGAGTAGGATTTACTTGAAAAAAGCTAGGCAACTTTCTTCACTCAGATAATGCTAGTAAATTTATAAAGATTCGCCAAGTAAAAACCTAAACATACAGTATTTAATTAGAAATCCTTAAGTTAAATTTACTTGGAATGTGGAATTAAGTAAAATTACAGAAAATAAGTCATTTTATCTTGGCTAGTAAAAAGTTGATTAATATTGATTTAGTTGAAATTTCCTAACGTTTCACTAAAACAATAACATTGAATTTTATTAGTCATTTATAGTATGTGCTTTACTTAGATCATCTAAGTTATTTATATTGCATCATGTCAGATGTTAAGCATCATGTGAATGAAAACACCTCAATACTTGGTAGACAATACACAACGGCGGTAACATTTGATGGGGCGTTTTTATGTTTGAGCAAAAAATTTACTCAAAATGTCACAAAATGGCAGGTTACTAATACTAATACAGAGTAAATACAGCTGGAAACCAGTGAAAAATGAACCTTGTTAATTATTCAAAGTCCAGTGCATGATGGGAACCCCAGTATCAGAAAAGTTGAGTCATTTTTACTTAATTTTATCGAGTTGATATTTAAACTTTCATTTTTACTCGCTTGAATTAAGTACTGATATGGAATTTACTTTGTTTGTTTTATTCTTGTCTGAACTAACTTTTTCATGTAAACTGCATTGTTGTTTTTTTCAGTAGTATTTACTTCACGAAAAATCAGTGTAAAAAACATAATTACAAACACAATTAAACAACGCTGGCAGTCAAAGTGATATATATATAGGGGGTTCGCTGGGTAAATAATAGTTTGTGCTATTTCTCCTCTAATCTTTCATTCAAAACATTCACAAAAATCCACATGACTATAATAAAAAATAATACAATCCACATTTTGATAAAAATCAAATTATACATAAAAAGTTAATGTACTCAAAAAAATATAAATGTGGAAAAAGTCTTATTTTAATTCATTGCATTTAAAATAAATCAAACTTTAATACATTTTCAATTGTGAATACATTTACAGAAGATCAGCGTCATGATTCACGTGTGTGTGTTCACTGGTTGATTGGGGGAAGCTGCTTCTCAATGAACTGCTTGATGTCCATCATTTCCTGTTGTGAGAAACGGAGAGTTTTTCATATTTTCATTAAAAACAAACACTCATAGCACTATACTTCTTGTTATATGACTTAAAAAGCAAAACTGTTTGTATAATAGCCGAGGGAGTAGGCGCGCTTCCATTACAGATTTGTTCAAAACTTTTGCGATATTTTCCAAATGTCGATAAAAAACTATTGCGAAATGACGGTGTTTTCATTAACCGATGTTATGCGACTAAAACGCCTTTTTTTAATCTCGCTATAAGTCATTCCAAAAATCAACGGACTTTGGTAGGTTTATAACTTATTTCACAGCCATGCATCGCACTAGACATTATTATTATTATTATTAAAGGACGGAGACGTGGTGTGTTATCCAAGCATTAATGGCGGGGAAAGACACAGAGTTCCTGGTGTTTCTCCCTTATTTCTGCTTCGATGTCTTCATTTCTTTGAGGTTTAGAGGCTATTCCTGTGATTATTGTTTCTTTTTTTAAATGAATTTAATAAAGAACTCTATCTCGTATTATGTCCAAACGCTTGTTGCAAAACGAAAAATGAACGGTTGTTGTATTTTTAAAACGCAAAGTTGAACACCATCATTTTAGTTTGACCACACCAATGCTGCGCTTTCAATGCCCCCTTTAAAACATTTAAAATATTTACAAATTAATATGGGAAAAATGTAGATTTTACTGGTTTTCTAAGGCCGAATTAGAACATGGATAGCCTATTTATGATATTTTTCCCGTAGTGCTTTATAGGCGAGTTATTATAAATGCGTCTTCGAGCTAAAAACATAATCTCTGGATGCACCTTTAGAGAGAACGGCACCTTTCATACGGATTACATAATCAGAAGGTATTCGTTTACGATTCGAATTTGTTCTTTTTAAAGTGGACATTTCAAGCTTTAGTCTATTGTAAAGGTACAGCCACCATTTAAATGTTTATATTTCATATAACTTTCTTACTATAAAAATAAAAGTGTAATTCAAGTGTTTGCATAGCTACAAATCAGTTAATTTTTATCTTCAACATTAAAGTAGGCTAATGAAGCCTATAGGCTACAACTGACTCCCATAGTTTACAGCATTAGTTAAGAGATTTGTTTTCCTTGAGAAAATTGCCATGTATTGTACCTGATATCCAAAATAATCAATATTGAATCGAATCGTAATTGAATCGAATTGCAAGCTTGTGAATCGAAATCGAATCGAATTGTGAAATTTGTGTCAATACCCAACCCTAATAATTATTATTATTATTTGCGGACACGGACCAGTCAGGTGACTGTAAATGCGCAAAATCCGTTTCCATTGCAGTTTTGCGGAAAAATCCTTTTTCGAGTTGCCTGAAAAACCTCCTCATACGAGCGGAAAAACTTTTTTGCGATAAACGGGAGTTTTTGCGAAATTGACGTGTTTCCATTGAGCGTATTTTCATTTCGCAATTTCAATTTGCGCAAATTGAAGGGTAATGGAAACGCGGCTAGTGACGGCAAACTTCCCATCATTCTCTCTTCTGACGGCAGGATTCATTTCTTCCTTCATTTGGAAAGTCATGGGAACAAACAGACAACTGATCTGCTCCGAACCTTAACGAGCGCACAGGAGCCAATTAAGGCTTTATTCGTTTAGAAGAATCCAAGAATTCAAGGCCGACTGTGTGTGTGTGTGTGTGTGTGTGTGTGTGGCACACCTCGGGACAGGCGCTGTGAGGAAGCCCAGGGTAGGTCCTGAAGCTGATGTTGGCCGGGTCGAGGATCGTCTTGAGCTTCTCCACAGCGAGTCGGCCGAAGAGCGGAGGAACGAGCGGATCCGCGTCCCCGTGACACTGCAGCACCGACATCTGCCGATTACTGACCCCTGACTGGACGACAGAGGTCAAACACACAACAGGGACATGAGTTCACTTCAGAATTAACATCTCCTGATAGTTTACTATCAAACACGTTCATGTGTTTCTGTCTTCAGTGGAAAAGAAATGAAAGTTTTTGAGGAACGCACTTCAGGATTTCTCCATATAGTGTCTTCAATGGGGTCCAACGGGTCAAAGGTCAGATGTGAGTTTCAGGTTCAAAGTCTCGACACGATCCAGCCGAGGAATGAGAGTCTGATCATTTACAACAAAACACACATTTATATACTTTAACCACTAATGCTGGTCTTGCTCTCGCTGTGATGCGACACAAATTACGTCATCAGGGTGAAAGGTCACGCGTGACGTAGGCAGAAGAACCGACCCAGTGTTTACAGAGCGAATGTGAAAGACAGTCAAACGCCATTTATTAAAGAAATAAACGAAGTCGGATGATTTTCAAGTTGGAGGAGAAAAAGAGTTTTCACTCTACATTTCTGACCCGGAACACGCGTGACCTTTCACCCTGATGACGTAATGTGTGTCGCATCACAGCGAGAGCAAGACCAGCATTAGTGGTTAAAGTATATAAATGTGTGTTTTGTTGTAAATGATCAGACTCTCATTCCTCGGCTGGATCGTGTCGAGACTTTGAACCTGTAACTCACATCTGACCTTTGACCTGTTGGACCCCATTGAGTTCCTGTTCGCCTCTGTAAAGAGCTTTGACTGTGTATCGTATAAAGCGCTATATAAATAAAGATGACTTAACACTGTGGCGTTAGAATAAAATAAACGTTTCAGAGGTGATAGACTTTATTAAATATAGATATAAGATTATGAAGACACTTTATAATAACATGCCCTGATAAACTGCCGGAATATGATTGTAATAAACCGGCGTTGAACCATGTGATGTCCTGCAGAGCTAATGCGAGATCGATATATCCCGACCTGTGAGAGCGAGTTCCTGAGGGGCAGCCAGCAGCTAAGAGCTACGACACCCGCTAGCTTCTGCCGCGCCGTCAGCGCGCTGTAGAGAGAGAGCGCTCCACCCTACACACACACACACACACACACACACAGTGAAGAAGATTTAAAAGACTGAAGTTTAACCATTTTTTAATTCCATCAAAAAAGAAAGACCGACAAATAGGTTGCTATGGTGTTTTAGCATGTTGCTAACATGTTTTAGATTGTTGCTAGCATGTATGTTGCTAACAAAAATCAGCTCATTACTATCAAGTTTTAACGTGTTGCTAGTATTCTTTAGCACATTGGTAACATAACTTGGCACATTAACATGTTTATAACCAAAATTAAGACATTGCTAGCATGATATAATATATTAGCATGTTTCTAGTATAATTTAGTATGGTGCTAACATGTCGCTAGCATGTTTCTAACATGACTTAACACATTGCTTTGCTTGTATGCTAACGTGTTATAGCACTTTGCTAACATGATTTAGCACGTTAACATGTTTACAGCATGAATGAGCACTCTGCTAGCACAATTTAATATGTTGCTAGCATGATTTAGCACATTGCCATTATGTTTCTAGCATGATTCAACATCTTGATAGCGTAGCTTAACATATATTAATACATCCCCATCATTTTTCCCAGACAGCAAACTGACATTGCATCAACGTGGAAACGACGTCTCTTATGACATTGAAACAACGTTGATTTTGCTCATCGAATTAACGTTGAACCAACGTCAGACGCGGCATTCTTCAAAGCTAAATGAAAATCGAAAATTGGTTTGCTTTCATAACGTTGAAACAACGTTGATTTCAAGTTGATTTTTCGTTAGTTTTGAAAGAATGACGCGTCTGACGTTGGTTCAACGTTAATTCGATGAGCAAAACAATGTCAGATCAACGTTGTTTCGATGTCATTTTTCCACGTTGATTCAATGTCAGTTTGCTATCTGGGTTAGCATCTTGCTAAAATTTTTGTTAATTCTTCGTCAATGTAAGTCTATGGGATTTTTCCATTTAATCATTTTTAGGAAAACCGTAAGTCGAATCGGTAAGAAAAGAGACTCCGTTTTAGAGTTATAACTTGAAAGTCTCGGAAGGAAAAGAATATGTTTAATTCTCTTCTGTTATCAGACAGGTTTCTTCTGTCATTTCATCTAGACCAATCAGACACTGGGGGGCGGAGTCATTGTAAACAGAGAGAGAGAGAGAGAGAGAAAGAGAGAGAGAGACATTGGCCTCACCTGAGAAAAGCCTCCCAACACAATCCTGTGAGACGGGATCCCGTTCTTCACTTCTCCATCGATCAGTTGTTTGACTGCGGACACATTCGAGTCGTTCACGTGTAATGGCGGATTCAGCATTCAGTTGTTCTGGCGCTAGTTTATATTATACTCAACTGCTCTCAGCGGCTCTTTTAATGCCAGATTCGTCCTCTTCAGCATCAGGGTGGAGGCTAATAATGTCAAACCTAAAAGCACATCAGGGAAGTGTGTTTAGTAGGTGCAGAGGTTTGTGTGTCGAGGAGAGTGTGTGTGGTTGTAGAGTCGTGTGTGTGTGTGTGTCTCACCAGGAAGGCATCGCCATGTTCATGTTGAGGGACACCGGCTGGACTGGACTTGCATGGTGAGTTACAGGAAAACAATAAAATGAAAAAGAAAGAAAGAAAGAAAGAAAGAAAGTAAGGTTTCTTTCAAATAGGTTGCTATGGCATAATAATAATAATAATAATAATAACACAAGCAAATATCAGGTCACGTGGTACAGCATAACAGGAATGACCCATATGACAATGTGCTGAATAAATACAAATGTATGTTTATTACATACGCATGAGGGCAGATGTACTTGACATGAGGAGCCCTGATGGCCGCCAGAGCTTCAGCCCATCCGTGTCTGAGGAGAGCACAATCTGGTCAAAAACTTCATCGAGACTGCATTCAATCATGACACATAAGCGTGATACGGTTTACCCTGTGTCTCCCAGACCGTGGAGGAATATCACCTGTAGGGGGAACACACGACAAGCTGAAAATATATAACATTTAAACCCCAAAATCTGAGGGCAATATAGCGATGATGACGTCACTTACTGCAGCCGTTGCTTTACGCGCGGCGGGAACGATCGCTGACATGTTATTAGCGCGCGTAAAAGTCGTCCAGCTTTGTTGTATTCATGAACAGAAAGCTTCAATGTCAACAGCTCACGGCAACAGTAATGATTCTGACTCACTCACTGACGGGCGCTTTCGGTTCATAAAGCTTCGGATCCTTTTTGAATCATTTGTTCTGAATCAGTGATTCGAACCGCGTATCAAACTGCCATAGTCACGTGATTTCAGTAAACGAGTCTTAGGTATGTTATTACTAGGGGGTGATGATTTTACCTGTTTTAAACATTTGTAGACATATGACACATTTAATGACAGATAATAAAAATGAAGAGTTGTAGTTAAAAGTCTGCTTTGATTAGCCAAACTCACAATAAAACAAACGAAACAAGCCCTATAATACAATAACATATTTTATAGAGATACTTCATATATATATATATACATACATATATTTGTCAATTACATTTAATAGATGATAGCCTCCCTTCAATGAAACATTACAGATGCTTTGCAAATTGACGGTTTTGACCAAGTTTTTGCTGCATTTACACTGATCTGACCAGCAGAGGTCACCAGCGTATCAGCGAATCATTTAAGGAATCAAACATAGAGGAATCAAATGATTCAAAGCTTCGTTTCTCCCATGAGGTTTAAGGTCAGAACCTGCAACCCTAGTGTAGTAAATGCTGTCCATTTTATTATAAATCATAATTTCATACTATTCATGTGTATTGCGATACTATTCAATAACTAAGTTAAAACTGAGCCCGTGAACGATTGCAGCAATATTAAAACATGTACTTTTTATTGTAATTTCTATTTTTTTAACATTATTAATACACCTCAACCTTGTGGCATGATAATTTACAATTAATCGCCACAATTAATGGTGAATAATTATTGTTCACAGTTTGTAACTTCATTTAAACCGATATTTCAGTGAATCCAAATATGTCATGTGACTTTTATTATTGTTCTTTCTGGGAGTTCTTCCGGGTTATCGCACCACATGAGCCTCCCCATGTCACCTGTCCTTGACTAGCATTTCTCCTGCTCTATGATGTCTGTGAGCAAGACAACAGCGGGGAAAACCATCGATATCGTGAAGAATCTGCCTCGCATTACACTCGCGAACCTGCGGCCCAATCCCGGCGCGAAGAAAGATGTGAGTTTGTCCTGTGAGGGGATATCACGGAGATGATTAGCGTGCTAGCATGGTCAGATGCTCAAAACTGCAGTGGAGACATGTTCTTATAATAGTCTAAAATTACCTTTTAAGGTTTATAATGAAATAAGTCGTTGTAGGTAGGACATTTATGAAGGATTAATTATCCTTCCATTTAGTGAGAAAGTCTTAAATGCTTGAAGTTGTGACATAAAAATGAATCTTCCTCAGTATTTTTGTTCAATGGAATTATCCAAACCTCTTTTAATCAAGACTTGCAAAAATCCAGAAGAAAACTAACAAAAACTATGAGTTATGGAAACTTCCCTTTTAAGTTTTTTTCTGAGCCCGTTGGCAGTTATTTAATCTAATTTTAACCCCAAAGTCACTTTATTTTGAATACAGAAAACAAGACTTCATATTTTGTATGTCCAGTAAATTCTTGATTTATTAATCTTTAGACGATCTCTTGTCTGTTAAAATCCCCCTGTGGTGTAAATCCAGCGTTTAATGTTGTTTATGTGGTGTGTTTAATCCGCTTTAACACACACCGTGTGTAAGTTGATAAGTGGACAGCATTGCTGAGTATTTCCTCCTTAAAACTGCAGTGAACCAAAAACACGCTTTGAAATCGCTGGTGTTTCTGACGTCACAAACCACCTTGTAACCAATCAGATCAACGTGTGATCGCCAACCGGTGGATCTCTGAGTGAGTGAGTGGAGGCGGGGCTCATTTGCATATTCATAGAACCGCGCATATTAAATAAGGTGTTGAGTTACATTCAAGATATTTTAAGGAAAGAACATTTATACATGTAATTTTGGTGATCAAAGATGAGTTTTAAGGGATAAAAGACCACAGGGGGACGTCAAACCCCCTAAATGTTAAGTGTATTAGAATCGTGCAGCTCTACTAGAGCGCGGTGTGTTCCCTCCTCGAGCTGTGATGTTGTGTGCGCGCAGGAGAAGCGCAGGGGCCGAGGGCTTCACGGCGGGAACCGCAGCGGCCGGGGTCACAAGGGCGAGCGGCAGCGAGGGAACCGGCCGCGGCTGGGCTTCGAGGGCGGCCAGACCCCCTTCTACCTCATCATCCCCAAATACGGATACAACGCCGATCACAGGTAAAGCGGTGCAAGCGTACGGTCCGCTGCCGCGTGTGATCCGCTGATTAACTGCTAAATTTAACCATTATTGGGTGAAAGTTTATCATTGGTACGTGTTTTTTCTTGCCAATTTACACACTCAAACTATTTTAAATGTAGAAGAAGAGGCGAAAATCCTGACTCGCACTCTATCTGTACACACACACACACACACTCAAACCGGATGTTTGTCAGTTTATCCACTCTTAAAGTTTCCATCCACACACACACAGTCAAATATATATATATAATTTTTTTGCTGATCAAAACCGTGAATTTTGTGATTCGTTCCTCCGCTAATAACAGTGATGCTGTGAGCCGCTGCACACACTCACTCTTCCGTAGGCTGATCTGATCTGTGTGTGTGTGTGTTCCAGCCGCCGGCCGCAGTATCCCCCTCTAACCCTGCGGAGGCTCCAGTACCTCATCGACCTGGGTCGCATCGACCCAACACTGCCCATCGATCTGACCCAACTCGTCAACGCCCGCGGAGTCACCATCCAGCCTCTGAAGAGAGACCACGGCGTCCAGCTCACTGACGAGGTGTGTGTGTGAGTGAGTGAGAGAGAGAGAGAGAGTGAGAGAGAGAGATCAAGAGAGTGAGTGTGTGTGTGTGTGTGTGTGTGTGTGTTAGTGAGTGAGAGAGAGAGTTTGTGTGTTACTGAGTGATCGAGTGACTGTGTGTGAGAGAGGGAGAGAGATATATTAAGTGAGGGAGTGAGAAAGTGAGTGATCGAGTGACTGTGTGTGTGTGAGAGAGAGAGAGTAAGTGAGAGAGAGAGAGAGAGTGTGTATGTGTGAGTGTATGTGTGAGTATGAAGTATTTGTAGTCTGTGTTTATTCATTCAGGTGGTTTTCACTGAAGTGTGTGTGTGTGTGTGTGTGTGTTTCAGGGTGCTGATATATTCTGTGCGACGGTGAACCTGGAGGTGCAGGTGGCGTCAGAGAAAGCCATCGCTGCGGTCGAGAGGAACGGCGGCGTGATCACGACTAGCTACTACGACCCGCGCAGCCTCCGTCAGTATACGCTAATGCTAATACTGATTCAGCTAATGCTAACCCTGATTCAGCTAATGTTAACCCTGATTCAGCTAATGTTAACCCTGATTAAGCTAATGTTAACCTTGATTCAGCTAATGCTAACCCTGATTCAGTTAATGCTAACCTTGATTCAACTAATGTTAACCCTGATTAAGCTAATGTTAACCCTGATTCAGCTAATGTTAACCCTGATTCAGCTAATGTTAACCCTGATTAAGCTAATGTTAACCCTGATTCAGCTAATGCTAACCCTGATTCAGTTAATGCTAACCTTGATTCAGCTAATGTTAACCCTGATTAAGCTAATGTTAACCCTGATTCAGCTAATGCTAACCCTGATTCAGCTAATGTTAACCCTGATTAAGCTAATGTTAACCCTGATTCAGCTAATGCTAACCCTGATTCAGTTAATGCTAACCTTGATTCAGCTAATGTTAACCCTGATTAAGCTAATGTTAACCCTGATTCAGCTAATGCTAACCCTGATTCAGTTAATGCTAACCCTGATTCAGCTAATGCTGACCCTGATTCAGCTAATGTTAACTCTGATTCAGCTAATGCTAACCCTGATTCAGCTAATGCTAACCCCTGATTCAGCTAATTCTGACCCTGATTCAGCTAATGTTAACCCTGATTCAGCTAATGTTAACCCTGATTCAGCTAATGTTAACCCTGATTCAGCTAATGCTAACCTTGATTCAACTAATGTTAACCCTGATTCAGCTAATGCTTACCCTGATTCAGCTAATGCTAACCCCTGATTCAGCTAATTCTGACCCTGATTCAGCTAATGCTAACCCTGATTCAGCTAATGTTAACCCTGATTCAGCTAATGCTAACCTTGATTCAGCTAATGCTGACCCTGATTCAGCTAATGTTAACCCTGATTCAGCTAATGCTAACCCTGATTCAGCTAATGCTAACCCTGATTCAGCTAATGCTAACCTTGATTCAGCTAATGCTAACCCTGATTCAGCTAATGTTAACCCTGATTCAGCCAATGTTAACCCTGATTCAGCTAATGCTAACCCTGATTCAGTTAATGCTAACCCTGATTCAGCTAATGCTGACCCTGATTCAGCTAATGTTAACTCTGATTCAGCTAATGCTAACCCTGATTCAGCTAATGCTAACCCCTGATTCAGCTAATGCTAACCTTGATTCAGCTAATGCTGACCCTGATTCAGCTAATGTTAACCCTGATTCAGCCAATGTTAACCCTGATTCAGCTAATGCTAACCCTGATTCAGTTAATGCTAACCCTGATTCAGCTAATGCTGACCCTGATTCAGCTAATGTTAACTCTGATTCAGCTAATGCTAACCCTGATTCAGCTAATGCTAACCCCTGATTCAGCTAATTCTGACCCTGATTCAGCTAATGTTAACCCTGATTCAGCTAATGTTAACCCTGATTCAGCTAATGTTAACCCTGATTCAGCTAATGCTAACCTTGATTCAACTAATGTTAACCCTGATTCAGCTAATGCTTACCCTGATTCAGCTAATGCTAACCCTGATTCAGCTAATGCTAACCCCTGATTCAGCTAATTCTGACCCTGATTCAGCTAATGCTAACCCTGATTCAGCTAATGTTAACCCTGATTCAGCTAATGCTAACCTTGATTCAGCTAATGCTGACCCTGATTCAGCTAATGTTAACCCTGATTCAGCTAATGCTAACCCTGATTCAGCTAATGCTAACCCTGATTCAGCTAATGCTAACCTTGATTCAGCTAATGCTAACCCTGATTCAGCTAATGTTAACCCTGATTCAGCCAATGTTAACCCTG